TGACTGAAATCCAGAAGAGAGCGGAGCAAGCACCGTCTTCCCTCTCAGACCCATCCCCTACATACAGCGTCACAACCCAGCAACTGGGGTGCCCCGCCCTGGTGAACACCTAAGGCTCCACCCCTCATTGTGTAACAGGTGTGTCAAGACAAAAAAAAAATGGCCCAGATGAAAGAAAAGATCAAAGCTCCAGAGAAAAATGCAACTAAGCGATGAAGAGGTAGCTAACCTATCAGATGCACAGTTCAAAACACTGGTAATCAGGAAGCTCACAGAATTGGTTGAATTGGGTTTCAAGTTACATGAAAAAATGAAGGCTATGCTAAGTGAAATAAAGGAAAATGTACGGGGAACTAATAGTGATGGGAAGGAAACTGGGACTCAAATCAGTGGAGTGGACCAGAAGGAAGAAAGAAACATCCAATCAGAAAAGAATGAAGAAACAAGTATTCAAAAAAATGAGGAGGGGCTTAGGAACCTCCACGACATCTTCAAATGTTCCAACATCTGAATTATAGGGGTACCAGAAGGGGAAGAGGAAGAGCAACAAGTGGAAAAGTTATCTGAACAAATAATAAAGCAGAACTCCCCCAATCTGGCAAAGGAAATAGACTTCCAGGAAGTCCAGGAAGCTCAGAGAGTCCCAAAGAAGTTGGACCCAGAGAGGAACACACTAAGGCACGTCTTAATTACATTAACCAAGATTAAAGATAAGAAGAGAATCTTAGAAGCAGGAAGAGAAAAGAAGACAGTTACCTACAAAGGAGTTCCCATAAGGCTGTCAGCTTATTTCTCAAAAGAGACCTTGCTGGCAAGAAGGGGCTGGAAAGAAATATTCCAAGTCATGAAAGGCAAGGGCCTAGATCCCAGATTGCTCTATCCAGCAAAGCTGTCATTTAGAATGGAAGGGCAGATGAAGCGCCTCTCAGATAAGGTCAAGTTAAAGGAGTTCACCATCACCTAGCCCTTATTATATAAAATGCTAATGGGATTTATCTAAGGAAAAGAAAATAAAAAAACAGTACAATGACAGCAAATTCACAATTATTAACAAATATACCTAAAACAAAAACAGACTAAGCAAACAACTAGAACAGGAACAGAACCACAGAAATGGAGATCACATGGAAGTTTATCAATAGGGGAGTAGGAGGGGGAGAGAGGGGGAAAAGGTACAGAGAATAAGTAGCATAGATGGTAGGTAGAAAATAGACAGGGAGAGGGTAAGAATAGTATGGAAAATGTAGAAGTCAAAGAACTTATATGTACAACCCATGGACGTGAACTAAAGGGGGGAAATGTGGGTGGGAGGGGGTGTGCAGGGCAGAGGAGAATGAAGGGGAGAAAATGGGACAACTGTAATGGCATAATCAATAAAATATATTTTTAAAAAATCATTAAAAATTTTATCGTAAGCCCTGGCTGGTGTGGCTCAGTGGATTGAGTGCGGGCTGCGAACCAAAGTGTCGCAGGTTTGATTCCCAGTCAGGGTACATGCCTGGGTTGCAGGCCATGACCCCCAGCAACCGCACATTGATGTTTCTGTCTCTCTCTCTTTCTCCTTCCCTTCCCTCTCTAAAAATAAATAGATAAAATCATTAAAATTTTATTGTAAAATATGCACAACAAAATGTACCACTTAGCCCTTTTTAAGTGTATAATTTGGTGGCACTAAGTACCCTTACTGTGCTGTACAACCATTGTCACCATCTGCCTCCAGAACCTTCCCGTCATCCCAAACAGGGACCTCATGACCTCAGCAGTAACTCCCGTTTCCCATTTCCTTTGCCCCTGGCAACCTCTATTCTACTTTCTGTCTCTGAATTTTCATGTTCCATGGACCTAACAAGTGGAATAATACAATATTTGTCCTGTGTTTGGGATATTTCACTTAGCATAACGTTTTCAAGGTTTATCCAAGCTGTAGCCTGTCTCCGAATTCCATTCTTTTTTATGGCCAAATAATATTCCCCCATGTGGATAGACCACATTTGTTTATCCATTCATCTATTGATGGACACTTGGGTTGTTTTCCCCTCTTCTTTGTTGTGAATAGTGCCGCTGTGAACATTGGTGTAGAAGTGTTTGAGTCCCTGCTTTCACACTTTGGGTATATACCCAGAGGGGAAATTGCTGGACCATATGGTAATTCCATTTAGCAATTTGAGGAACTACCAATTTTCATGCATCCTGGTCAACACTTGCTAGTTTCCACTTTTTGATAACAACCATCCTGATGGGCATGAAGTGGTATTTCGTTGTGGCTTTCATTTGCATTTTAGTGGTGAGTGATATCGAGCATCTTTTCATGTGTTTATTGGCCACTTGTGTATCTCCTTTGGAGAGATGTTTATTCAAGTCCTTTGCCCATTGTCCAGCTGGATTTTCTGTTATTGTTGAGTTTGATCAACTGATTTTGACAAAGAATCAAAAGCAATTCAATGGAGGAAGGACACCTTTCAGCAAATGGTGCTGGTCATGCATAGGCAAAAAGCAAAGCAAATGACCTTATACAAAAATTACATAAAAATAGTGGATTGAGCGCGGGCTGGGAACCAAAGCATCGCAAGTTCGATTCCCAGTCAGGGCACATGCCTGGGTTGCAGGCCATGGCCTCCAGCAACCGCACATTGATGTTTCTCTCTCTCTCTCTTTCTCCCTCCCTTCCCTCTCTAAAAATAAATAAATAAAATCTTGAAAAAAATTAGTTAAAAATAAATCATGAACATAAAACTCTAACACTTCAAGAAAATCATAAGGGAAAGTCGTTGGGATCCAAGGCTAGACACGGAGTTCTTGCACTTGACACTAAAAGCACTATCCAAAAAAAGAAATTGATACACTGGACCTAATCAAAATACAAACTTTTGTTCTGTGAAGTCCATGTGAAGAGGATTAAAAGACAAGCTACAGAATGGGAGAAAATATTTTCAAACTACATACCCAACAAAGGGTATGTATCTAGCCTTTATATAGGCTAGTATCTAGCCTATATAAAGAATTCTCAAAACTCAACCATTAGAAACTGGGCAAAAAGACGTGAACAGACACTACACCGAAAAGAGATAGCAAGTATGCACAATGAAAAAAAAATGTCCAGTGTAAGTATCCATCGTGTACATTAGAACCACAGTGCGATGCCACCCCACATGTATTAGAATGGCTGAAATACAAACCAGTGACATCAAACGCTGGCAAAGATGTGGAGAAACGGGGTTGCTCAGACATTGCGGGGGCGTGTAAAATGGCACAGACACTCTACAGAACAGGTTGGCTGTTTCTTGCATACGAAACTAAATATGTGATTACCAGACAACAGTACTTTGGGGCATTCCAGAAAAATAAAAACTTAGATTCACATGAAAACCTGTACAGGAACGTTCGTATCAGCCTAATTTGTGATAGTCCTATACTGGAAACAGCACAGAAGTGCTTCAGTGGGTGAATGGTTAAACACGCCATGGAAAACCCAGAGCAATACAAAGAAATTATTGATACAACGTAGGTGAACCTCCAGAGAATTATTCTGAGGACAAAAAGTCAATTCCAATAGGTTACATACTGTATTATCCCATTTACATAACATTTTTGGAATGACAAAGTTTTAGAAATGGAGAACGGATTAGTGGTCGCCAGGTGGTGAGGAACCTCGGAGGGGGCGGGGCAAGAAGGAAGTGGGTGTGGTTATAAAAGCCCAACGAGGGAGGATTCTTGTGGTTTAAGGGGTCAGTGCCTTGACTTCAGCGATCAAACCTACACATGTGATAAAATTGAATAGACCTAAATACATACACGAATACCCGGCAACATGGGGAACTCTGATAAGACAGATGGATTGTGTCAATGTCAATATCCTGGTTGAGATGTGCTAAAATTCTGCAAAATGCGGTCTGGTGCCGCATCTCCGTGCACGTCTATGAGTGGGTGCCTTATGAGGTTAAAAAGAAAGAAAGAAGCCCTGGCTGGCGTAACTCAGTGGACTGAGCACGGTCTGCGAACCAAAGTGTCGCAAGTTCGATTCCCAGCCAGGGTACATGCCTGGGTTGCAGGCCATAACCCCCAGCAACCGCACATTGATGTTTCTCTCTCTCTATATCCCTCCTTTCCCTCTCTAAAAATAAAATGAATGAGATAGAAAGAAAGAAAGAAAGAAAGAAAGAAAGAAAGAAAGAAAGAAAGAAAGAAAGAAAGAGAGAGAGAGAGAGAGAGAAAGAAAGAGAGAGAGAGAGAAAGAAAGAAAGAAAGAAAGAAAGACAACTCTGAGATATCTGAAGGTTTCAAATTATAAAAACGTGAATAAATATTTGGGAAGCTTCCTCAGATCTCCTTTCCCAGAAATTTGTCTCCCACCCCCAAATAGCCCTGGATATAGTAGTGGCTTAAATTCGGAAGTGTTTTCCACTACGAAAATAAACCACGTTCATTATATTTTAAACCCTCTAAAGTGCAAACATAAAAACAGCATATTTCGTTCCAGCACCCAAATCCAATATCTTCCAGTATTTCCATGCATCTCTCCCCGTTTTGTTTCTGCGCCGTCTTCAAAAACATAACTTTATGTAGCAATAACTATTTCGTGTCCTGCTTTTTTCATTCATCACAACGTGACCTTTCCCCCACTTTTTTTTTTTTTTTTAACATTTTTCAAAGACATTCACGGTGAGATCGTTCACTTTTCATCTCCCCGGCAGGAATGCGGAATGTGCACCTCTGTACAGAAAGTTTTAGTCTACAAACCTTTCAAAATGTATGATCCAGAAGCGGACCACTGTCCCCACTTTAAAGTCTCCAGGCACACGACGCCCCCTTCCAGCCCGCCGCGCCAGTTTCCATGCCATACCACCGCACCCAAGACCACCCGAACCTTGGTCACTTTCTGAACTCCCTCTCGGGCACCGTAGACTCGAGGTGACGTAACACGGGTGGCAGAGGTGGTTTCCCTGGTGACAGTTGCCAGGACAGCGCGAGAAGCGTCCGAAAGAGGTGACCCAGCGGCGGTGGCCCCAAAAGGCAGGAGCTGGGAGAGCGCAGTAAGTGCTGGGGAGTGGAGCCCCGGGAGCCCGCAGCCTCTGGGGGCCTGGTCCGGAGCTGGGGCGCACACTCTCTCCCGAGCGCTCTGCCCCTGGCCGGGCGCTCACTGCACGCGGGATGCAGAGCGAGGATCCTCCTCCCTTGCTTCTTTGAACCTGCACGCACCGCCTCCTCCCTCTCTAGGCACTTATTTTCCTTGCGGCACAAGGGTTAGTGAGTCGCAAAAGGGGAATCGCCTGCCCAAAGCCACACAGTAGGTGGTGGCAACGCCAGAACTTCAACTCGGGTCCGCTAGACCTCCGGCGCCCTCTTCTGGTCTCCGCTGCGGAGGCCTCTCGCACCACACAGGGGTGGAACGGGAACTACACAACCTGGTGGCATCCACTACCCGCGTCCTCCCACCCCAGGGCCAGCCCCCATAGGACCGGGGACTCGTCGGAGAGCACCCCTTGGCGCGGGGCTCCAGCCCGCGACCCAGTCATCTTCAACCCACCCCCAACCCAAACCCATCTCTGCATTGATGCTGGCCTGGCAGGCGGCCGGAAAGCTGGTCCTCCAGGTCGCCCAACTAGGCTTCTCAGGACAACTCCTCTTCACCCCCAAGAGGCTGCTGGGAGGGGCGAGAGGGAGGCAGGAGAGAAAGTGGCAGGCTGGAGGGGACAAGGGAGGCCCGTGTCTGGATGGGGCCTCAGCCCCCTCCTCACTGGTCCAAGTCCCCTGTGCCCTCGACTGCCTCTGGGATCTTTGTCACAGGAAGTGCCACTCTCCCTGTCCCATGGCTCAATATGCATATGCCTTATTCCGTAGAACAATTTTAGATTTACAGAAACACTGGACAGAAAACTCAGAAAGACTCCATTTATTCCTCTCCCCTTCCCCCCATCATTAACATCTTGCATTGATAAGGCATACTTGTTACCATTGATGATCCTATGATGTTATTGTTAACTTTGCAACAATAACAGTATTAATGTTCACTCTTCGTATTGTACAATCCTATGAGTTTTGCCAAATGCATAATGCCCTGTATTCACCATTATGGTATCATTCAGAATAATTCACTGCCTTAGAAGCTCCCTGCGCTCTACTGCTCGTCCCTCTTCCCCTCTGCACAGCTCCTGCAAACACTGATCTCTCTCTCTCTCTCTCTCTCTCTCTCTCTCTCCCCTCCTCCCCTCTGCACAACCCCTGCAACCACTGATATCTCTCTCCCTCTTCCAGGGTATCATATAGTTTCGATCACACAGTGATCGAAAAGGCTACACAGTGTGCAGCCTTTTCAGACCGACTTCTTCACTTAGCAATGCGCATCTCAGTTTCCTTTATATCTTTTTGTGGCTTGAAGCTCATTTCTTTTCGTCAAGAGACAATGCACCATTGTATAGGTGTGCCGATTTGTTGGTCCATTCGCCTGTTCAGGGACATCTTGATTGCTTTTGATTTTTGATAGTTACGAATACAGTTCCTGTAAACTTTTGCTCACAGTGTTGTATGGAGACAGGTTTTCAACTCCTTTGGGCAAATATGATGGTTGGATCACATGGTAAGACTATTTGGCTTTGAAAGAAACTGCTCAACTGTCTTCCAAAGTGGCTGTACCAGCAATGAGTGAGTGTTTCTGTTGCTCCACATCCTCGCCAGCATTTGGTGTTGTCAGTGTTCTGGATTTTAGCCATTCTAACAAGGGTGTAGTGGTACCTCACTGCTGATTTAGTTTGTAATTTCTAATGACATGGTATTTTGACCTTTGCATGTGCTTATCTGCCATCTGTAGATGATCTTTGCTGAGCTGTATGTTCAGATCTTTTGCTCACTTTCTAGTTGGATTGCTTCCATATTGTTATGTTTTAAGAATGCTTTGTGTATTTTGGATACAGACCTTTGTCAGATGTGCGTCTTACAGATCTTCTTCCAGTCCGTGGCCTGTCTTTTCAGTCTCTGAACAAGGCCTTTTGCAGAGCAGACGTTTTTAATTTTGATGAAATCCAACTTGCCAAATTTTTCTTTCGTGGATCATGCTTTTGGTGTTGTATCTAAAAACTCATTGCCAAACGCAAGGTCACCTAGAGTTTCTCCTATATTATCTCCTAGGAGTTTTATAGTTTAGCATTTTAGACTTAGGTCTACGAGCCATTTTGAGTCCATTCTGGTGAAGGGTGTAAGGTCTGTGTCTAGATTCATTTTGTTGCTTGTGTGGATGTCCAGTTGTTCCCACACCATTTGATGAAAAGACTATTTTTCTTCATTGGGTTGCCGTTGCTTCTTTCTGTTGATTCTCTTTGTGTGGGTCTGTTTCTGGGCTCTCTGTTCTTTTCCCTTGACCTATGTGTCTATTCCGTCACAAGTGCCACACTGTCTTGATTACTGTAGCGTTACAGGAAGTCTTGACATCAAAGCATCATCTTGCAACTTCGCTCTTTTCCTTCCTACGGCATTGGCTTCTCTGAGTGAAGCCTTTTCACATAAATTTTAGAATCAACTTGTCAGTATCCACACAGTACCCTGCTGGGGTTTTCTTACAATGGTGTTGAATCCGTGGCTCAGTGTGGGAAGAACTGACATGCTAACAATACTGAGTCTTCCTATCCATGTACACGGAATATCTATTTAATTATTTGATTCCTGCCATCGAGTTTTATGGTTTTCCACATACGAATCTTATACCTGTTGTTATATATGTATACCTAAGTATTTCCATCTTTATGCAAATGTAAGTGGTATCACATTTTAAATTTGGACTTCCAGTTGCTCGTCGCTCGGCTTGAGGCTGACCGAGGTGCCTGCCTCCGCTGCAGGACCCCCCGGCCTGTCCCTCAGGGCACTCACACCTCTCACCCTCAGTTTTGACTCCTCTTTGGACTCCTGTGGGGGGTTTTAAAAACAGACAGACGCCCGGGCCCCAACCCAGACCAATGAAATTCAAACCTCCCTTGGCCTCGAGCCTATCACAGAGCAGAGGCTGATGTCTTGGGGGCCGAGGTGGATCGCAGGGGCCGGTCTGTCTTCCAGAGGCTCGTAGGGCCAATGATACCACATTTCGTATGATGAGAAAGATCATAAGTGCTAAATGCACAGGAGCGCTTGCGTGCCAGGCACCGTGTTACACTCTCTCTGTTCCTTCTCTCCCTGAATCCTCACAACCACCCTGTTACGCATTTCATGGCTACCGCCCCATCTTACAGAGGAGTAAACTGAACCACAGAGGGATGAAGTAACTTGCCCAGGAAACAGTGTACATCCTAGAAGAACTTGTCTCCCACCGACCCGCACATGCACAGTGGGAACAGAAAAGGAAAGAAGCTTTAAGAGTTACTGTGTTTATTCATGCATTTCTGCTTTCTCGCACCTGCTACCTTTGTTCAATGACAACTCTACAAATATTAATTGAAGGCTCATTCTGGGCAGGATGCCAAGAGTTAAAAAAGAAATAAGACGTAAGCCCCCTGCCTTTAAGAGGCCTCTTAGCAAAGGAGAAGAATAGAAATAGTCATAGAGGATTATAATACTTGGAGGTAAGTTTAGTGCTCAAGGAACACCTGGGGGGATCCTAGGAGCCCCCCGAGCACCCCCAGGGGAGCCCTAAAGGCTGAACGGGCGTTTGTGGGGAGGAGAAGGGGGCCTGGGGAGGAAGACAACCCAGGCCGGTGCAGTGGCTGAAGCAAGGTGCCTCCAGGCAAGAGCCTCAGCAGGGGTCATAAACCCAAATATCCGCAGGGGCTGATGGGAAGTGACAGGGGTGAACCCAGCAGGTATAAGAGAGAGAACAGCATTTACTGCGAGGACAATGGGCAGCTGATGTGCCTGAGGCCGCCTCCGGGAGTAGCGGACCGTGGCTGAGTGGGAAGGACACGCCCACCCAGAGAGAGCTCCCCCGGCCCAGCAGCTGCTGCCCATGTGGGACCGTGCACTCAGCATGGCCAGGTCTGAAAACTTGTACAAAAGAAGCTGGAAATCTGGATTTCATCGAAATCTACAAATGTTTGAATGTTGGCCATGAAGTCAAATCCTAACGTAGCATCCTGTGCGAGTCAGACAAAAATGTCTGGGTGGATGCAGCCCTCGGGCAGCCGGGGCGCATCTGTGAGTCCCGGGTCCTCGGTGGGCGGGGTGCGCTCTGAGTCCTGGTGAGCCTTGCAGAGGCAGAAGCCACTTGCATCTGCTTTTGGAAAGGTCCCAGAGGGTGGTGCGCAGTAGGGATTAAAGGGACAAGACAAGACCCAGGCAGCTAACTAAGGTAGGAAGCAGGCAGCCGGGGAGATAGGGAGACACTGGGGGAAGGCGGGGTGGGGGGGAGCCCGGTGCCACCCGGCCGGTGGAGCAGGCAGGAGACAGGGCACAGAGGAGGCGGCCTTGCAGTGCGAGGCAGTGGCTGCAGAGGCTGGAGGCAGCTGGCACGGGGCTTGGTCCCTGTGGGCCCAGCAGCCACGCCAGGTTTTCTGCTGAAGGGTCACAGGAACCACTGTGAGGGACAAGGGTCTGCACGTGGGGCAGGAGGAGGAGGAAGCGAGTCCTCCCCAGAGACCACCAGGAAGGGAGAAGATCGTAATATTTTGTTTCCACCAATGGCACAGCTGTCGGAGCATTTCCACACCGCCCTTCGCATTTGCCCTCCCGCGGCACATCTGTGGCCTCGGCGTCGTCCTCTCCTGCTTACTGAACAAGGGACTGGGGCCTGGGGGGTGGGGGGTATGGAGGTGCCTTAGATCCCCGTAGCCGCTGCAAAGCCAAGTTCACCCTGATCTCCAGCGGCTCTCTCACCGTGCACCAGGCCTCTCATACGGCAGCCCAGGCCGCAGCACCCAGCACCCAGGCTGCGCCTGACCCATGACTGGACTGATTCCCTGAGCAGAATCCCTGGGCGCGGGACCCTGCGTCAGTATCTTTAAAGCGTCCCAAGTCGTTCCCGTGGGCAGTCCAGGCGGGAACTGCCGCTTCGCATGCTGGTCACAACCTCCAAGTTGCTTCCCGACTCGCTGGTGACCCAGGAGGGTTATTAATAGCTCTCGCTTGCACTCTCCAAGGTGACCCAATTTGGAGAATGAAGTATGTGGTGGTCCCTTCTTATAATCTACAAAAATAGGGACTCGCAGGATGAATTTATTTTTAAACTCTATTAGGTACATTTTCAAATCATGGACTCAGTAAGGTTTTCTTCCGTCTCTAGAGTCCTTTTCAGGTGAAATTCCTCTCATCGGGTCGGCACACTAAGGCTCACAGTCCAAACCCAGCCCCCTGCCCATTTTTTGTAATCAAGCTGCATTGGGCCACAGCCACGCCCACTCCTTTACGCTTTGTCTGCGGTGGCAGAGGGCCGTAGTGCCGCAGAGACCATATGGCCCATAAAGCTGGAAATATTTGCTGTCTGGCCCTTTGCAGAAAGTTTAAGTTGGACTCGACGGAAGTTGAAGCTAATCCGGCTTTTTCTCTGGGAGGTGGAGGAGCAAAGTGACACTGGATGGAACCGGCACTATTAAGGGGAAAACAGGCTGGAAGGAGAGACTGAGGCCAAACCTCCCAAAGCTTTTAATGCCTTTGGACTCGATTGGGGCTAACAAGCATCTACTGAAGCTTTCGGCGTAGGGGCACGGCAGCGTCAGAGCTGTGCTTTGAAGAAAGTAGTTCCTCAATGAAGGCGGGCTGGACTGCAAGAGAGGCGGGAAGAGGGAGGGGGCAGTGGGGTGGCAGGGACTTGTTTCGCAGTCCTGGGGCGGGTCCATCCATCATGCGTTTACCAAGTGTTGATTCCGTGCCTGCGACACGCCAGCAGGGAGCATCGCACAGCGCGGGCCGTTGTGGGGCTGGCGGGGAGGAAGAGAGGCGACCTACCGACAAACATATGCTGTGTCGGGTGAAGCTGAGCGTGATGGAGAAAGATAAAGCCGGGCGAGGGGCGTGAGGTGAGGGTACAAATGCTTTCTGCGATAGAGTGGCGAGAAAGGCCTCTCTGACGCGGTGAGCAAGGTGGGCGTCTGAAGAAAGAACATTCCAGCGAAGGGCAACGGCACGTGCAAATGGCCTGAGGTGGCCAGGAGAACGCTGATGAGAGTGGTGTCAGTGGGGAAGGAAGTACGGGGTCGGATTTGTAGATGTTTATGGAGAATCAACATGATTTATGAGTGATCGGATGGCGGGTGGATGGTGTGACTTGAGTTTGGATTAAGTCAGGGATGCTTAACACTGGCTACACTCGAAAAGCATCTGGGGGGAGTTTTTAAAATTCCATTTTTGGTGCTCTATCATGCTATTTACGTGAAATTCCGAAGTAGACAAACATCCAGAACATGTAAGGAACTCAGTAAGCACTGACCAGTGTGGCTCAGTTGGTTGGGCATCATCCTGCAAAGCCAAAGGTCGCCGGTTTGGTTCCTGGCCAGGGCACACACCTGCATTGCGGATTCAGTCCCTGGTCGGGGCACGGACAAGATCCATGTTTCTCTCCCTCTCTTTCTCCCCCGCTTCCCCTTTCTCTAAAAATGAACAAATGAAATCTTTTTTAAAAAAGGAACTCAGTAAAAAGACAACAACATTTTTAAACGTGCACAAGCACATCACGAAAGACGTGCAGATGGCCAGCGAGCACGTGGAAAGAGGCCCTGCACAGTTTGCCGCCGGGAAAAGGCAAATAAAACCGCACCGAGATGGCGCTGCACGCCTGCTAGAAAAACTGAGTGAGATTCCTAGGGACCCTACGAGGTGTCGGCGAGAATGTGGAGCAGCTGGAATGCTCGTGCGCTGGTGGTGGGCACGTAAACGGGACAGTAACTCTGGAAAGCAATTGAGTGGTTTCTTATAAAACTGTCAGAACTGTACCACGTAACCAGGCATTTCCAACCAGCTAAGTATTTACCTAAGAGAAATGAAAGCATACGTTCGTGCAAAGGCTGTCTCATACATGAATGTTGGTAGCAGCATTGTTCATGGTAGCCCAAAGTGGAAACAGCCCAGGTCTCCAACAACAGGTGAAGAGATGGATAAACTAGGGTGTGTCTACACAATGGATACTACCCAGCAATAAAAAGGAATGAACTAGTGATGCATGCAACGACACGGATACATTTCCAAAAGGCAGTGCTAAGCGAAACAAAACAAAAACACGAAAGACTGCCTACTGTCTGACTCAAGTTGTAGAAAACTCTAGAAAAGGCGGAAGTGCAGTGGTGGAGAGCAGACCAGGCAGGGGAACCGGTTGCAAAGGGGCCCCGAGGAACTTTCTGGTGTGACAGAAATGTTCTATTGTGGTGACGGTGGTTTACACAGGTGCATATACCTGCCAACACTCATTTGCACACCCAAAATTGGTGTACGTTACTGTGTGCAAATGACACTGCAATGGATCAGCGTGATTAAAAAGAAAACAGACAGAACTCTCATCCTCAGTGGCAGAGGTCAGAATAGTGGTTACCTTGGGGGGGGACAATGGACTGGAGAGGGCACCAGGTAGGCTGCACAGGGACAGGTGGTACCCTACACCTTGTCCTGGCGGCCAAGCATATATTAATGTAAAGATTCACTGAACTGTGTAGTCAGGACTTATGCCGTTTACTGCATGTAAACTATACCTCAATTTAAAAGTAGTGACTGAGTCCCATTCCTAGGAATGGGGTTTAATAGGTCCAGGCGTGTGCCCTGGCATTGGTATATTTGAGGAGATCCTAATGTTCAGCTGGAGTCAGCGCCACCGGAGGGGTGCAGTGCTGGGTCTGAGCAATGGGGGTATGTTCCGATGCCCTGCGCAGTTCGGAGGCACCGGAGGGCACTCTGCTCAGCTTTGGCTTTCAGGGCGTTTGAGGTGGGGCTGGGTCTCCTGAGCTTCCACGCAGCCACACGCAGAGCTGAGCGGGAAACTCCAGGGCTGGGGGCTGTGCCCGGGGCTGACTACGCACTGAGCGCTCTTGGAGAACGTGCCCTGTGTGGGGTCTGCTTCAGCTCAGGCTTTTCCCCCCAGTCCCAGAGCAAGATGGCCGCGGATGAAGGCTCGCAGGACACCTTGCGGCTCCAGTTCAAGGCCATGCAGGAGATGCAGCTTAAACGGTTACAGAAGCAGATGGAGAAACAGAAGGAAAAGGAGCTGAGCCTCCGCAGCACAGCCGACGACCCACAGGAGCCCTCAGAGACCTCCGGTGGCCTCAGCCCTCTGCAAGCCGGGGAGCAGAATGCGAAAGACGGCTTCGAGCAGAGGTAAGGGCTGGTTTGATCTCTGCCAGGGGCACCACAGGGAGGTTGGCAGGTGGGGGGGACACGGCTGCCAACAGTCAGTCGGGTGGACCAGGTGCGTGTGTATCAGGCGAGATGCAGGGGTTGCCACAGAGGCTGCTACTGAAGACTCCTGCGTCTGATAGAAGGTCGGCGCTCCTGTGGACAAAATTCCACGTGAAATTAAAAACCATGTAAAGTCCCCTCGAAGCTGGGAAACTCATCAGGGTGTAAGTTGATTCACTTGGATTCTCTTATGTAGTTTCTCATGGAAACAGTGTTTGGGTTTCTGAGAAGCTAATTGGCCACCTTTGGTGGCCGTCGGAAGTCAGTGTCCCAGTCTCACCTGGGGCTGCTCCCCCGTGGCAACGGCCCTTCCCTGACACGGCACATACGCCTGTCTGTCCTGAAGGAGCCCTTGGCGGGGTCCTTGCTGTTTTGCAGTTGGCGGGAAGGTTGTCAAGAGTCCGGAACCTTTTCGGTTTGCTCTAAATTTGACGTCACACAGATGCATGTTGACCTGCACCGGTTGTTAGAAACAGGAGTAGGCACTGACACAGAAGGTTTTGTAGGCTGGTTTGGGGACCAAGGTGTTAGCCTCTGCTCATTGAGGTTTCCCCAGTTCCTCATTCCTGTGTCGTACAGACCAGTTCTTATCACTACCCAGGGCCCCACGGGGTGCAGCGCACCCGGCCCCCGTGGGGAGGCCTGACCCCGGGCCCAGCCCCGTGGGGAGGGGAGGCAGTCATCGGCCTTTGCCTTGCAGGGCGCTTGAAGACGAGGTGGAGCAGCTGCGCGGCCAGCTCCGGGAAACCGCGGATGAGAACGGGCGGCTGTACAAGCTGCTGAAGGAGAGGGACTTCGAAATCAAACACCTCAAGAAGAAAATCGAAGAGGACAGATTTGCCTTCACAGGTAGCTCCCCCCATGGTTGCGACCGTCCCTGCCCTGACTTCCAGGTGCCCCGAAGCCCGGGCCCAGCAGGGCAAGCAGCAGGTTCCGCGGGGCAGGCGCCCAAGTGAGAGTGCCAGGGGCTCACTGTGGCCCAGCCGGTCCGGATGCATCCTGGGAGTGAGGGAGTGGGTGGAGGGAGAGAGCGGGCCGAGGAGGCCCGCATGCCGGGACATGGGAATGGGACAGCAGCTGGGACAGAGGGCCAGCAGTGGGCTTCTGGGCGGTGTTGGTGACTCAGCTAGGACCCCAGACAAGGTCCCACATGGTGTTGGCTGCATGTTCAGGGGGCCAGCAGGGTCCGTTCTGGGCTGGTGCCCTGGCTCCAGCATTGAATGGTGGGTGTGAGAAAGCCCCTGTAGTGATAGGCATTTACTCTGCTTGCATTGCTGCTCCAAAAGGGTGGGCGGGGGGGACAGGGAAGCTAGCTGTTCCCAGGGATTTCCGAGGACCCAGCACAGTCTAGGATGGACCTTGGCCCTTCAAGGCCCGGCTGGACCTTGGCTCTGTTGGTGGAGACCTTGACACCATGGGCCTGGTGGGGACCATGGCTTTGTGGGTTTAAGCTTGACCTTGGCCCTGGGGGTGTGGGCTGGACATTGGCACCATGGTTATGAGCTAGACCTTGGCCCTGTGGATCTGGTGGGGACCTTGGCCTCTGCTCCAGGTATGCCCATTGAGCAATTCCCGGGTGGCTGACTAGTAAACCACAAAGCCAGTTCACCAGTCCCAGAGAGCAGCGGCCTCACCTGGCGTCTGCCAGAGCGCTCCTCCCTGCCTGTGATCTTAAATGCCTTTAAGGGTGGGCACGCCCACCCCGGGGACCATCCCAGATTAAACAGCAAGGGGCTTTGGCATCCTAGAGACCACCCCTCGTGGTCTACTGTGCCTCCCTCCAGGCTTTGGCCTTTTCTGTCTAAAACAAAACACTGAAGCCCACGCTCTGTGTGGTGAGGACAGAAACACACTCAGGGTTCGGATGGGAAGGGGCAGCTTGCCCTCTGGCCAGGCTGCGGAGAGGCTGCCCCGGCTCCAGGGAGAGCAGGAGGCCCTCCGCGCCCAGGAGACCCGGGAGACAGGACGTGGGCCACCCCCTCTCCCCAGCCTGCCCTGCGTCCCCTCTCTCTGCCTGTCCCTGGCCACTCCTGGCCTCACCTGGCTGCCCCCCACCCCCCGCCCACTCTCCCTCAAATCTCCCCTCTTAAATCCAGTTCATACTCTGAGGTCACCATTTCTGATTTCCAGCTCCGCGGTTGGAAGAGAAACGTCTGACTGGCCCAGTTCATGTTTTTAAACGAGGCCACAAGTGCCAGACTGCTGGCCACTGCAGCTGAGAGACTGGTTTTCCTTTGGCGGGATTTTTAGTGAGCATTAGTTTAGTTTGGGTTTTTTTTTTTTAAGATTTTTATGTATTTACTTTTAGAGAGAGGGGAAGGGAGGGAGAAAGAGAGGGAGAGAAACATCAATGTGTGGTTGTCTCTCAAGTACCCCCTGCTGGGGACCTGGCCAGCATCCCAGGCATGTGCCCTGACTGGGAATCGAACCTGCGACCCTTCGATTCACAGGCCAGCACTCAATCCACTGAGCCACACCAGCCAGGGTAATAAATACTTTAGTTTTTTAAACGATATTTCTTTGTACTATTTATTAGTGATTGCTTTGGTGGTTATATACTTCACTTTCACAGTCTACTTAGAATTCCTATTCTGTCACTGCAAGTGGAATGAAGAAACTTTATCCCTCCCCATTCTGCTGCAGCTTCTGTATTTATTATTTCTATACATTGAATATCTCATCAGACAGTCTTATCAAATTCGCTTTCAACCTTGAGACGTATTGTAAAGAACATAAGGAGGCCGAAACAATCCGCCGTATTTACCCAGACACTGAGCATTTCTGAGCTGTCCTCTCACCGCTGGCCCACGGTCGCGGGTGGCAGCTCAAGGGCGGGGCTTGTCTGGAGACAGGGTTGGGCGAGAATCGGAGCAAGTACCCAAAGCATGTTTCCCACTGTCCCCGAGCTCCCCTTCCCGCCCTCAGGATCAGAGAGGGCTCTCCTAGACCCCTTTCTGATGTCGGGTTCCAGGATTTGTACTGGGTCCGAGTCCCGGGAGGAAGACACAGCCCAGAGGACTCAGTGCTGGACCACGCGTACCCCTCGGCCTGGCTCCACACCCCGACCCTCGTCCCGAGCCCTTCCTCCTGCCGGTCCTCATTCTGTTCCGTGGACGGGACGTCAGGTTGCTGGAGGCAGCCGCTCCTCGTTGCCTTACTCGCTGCCGGGCCTGGGCCAGCAGCACAAGCCCGGGCTGAGCTGACCTGCAGACCTTCAAGTACCTTTGTTCATGGTCCACCTCAGTCTGGCTCTGAGGCGCATGACACTCTTAAAAGTAGTCTTAAGAAGCTGTCTCCGCCAAGGACCCAGTGCTGGAGCGTCAGAAGCGCTCAGGGAACTTGCAGACCATCCAGCGAGACCGCCTTTGCGCAGACGGGAAGCTGCCCTCCAGACTGCACAGCCACCCGGTGGCCCCGCGGGGCCCCCCACTGCCTGCCCTCTGTAGCGCCCCACGCCACCCCGTTTCCGTCCCTCCAGCCACCCCTTCCATAGCCTCTGCCCTGGCCACGGCCTTCCGGCTGCTTTCTCGGCACTTCCCTGCCTCCCGGCCTTGCACCTGCTCTCTCCTCCGCCGAGAACGCTCTTCTGCAGGGCTGGTCCCTTGAGTGGTTGGGCCAGGTCCCTGTCCACAGGTCACCGCCTCAGAGAGCCTGTCCCAACCACTCCTGAAGTAGCGTCACCCCCTGGCGCTCGTCCCCTGGCCCGGCGTCGGCCTGTTTCACAGCACTCCCTCCTCCCAGGTGTTGCCAAGTACGTGTTTGTGTTTGCTTTTTATTCTGTCGGTCTTTCCTACTCACCGCGGAATCCCTAACACTGAGAGTGTTCAGCACTCGGTAGAAACTCCGAGAACACATGCGTTTGTATCATTAGGCGTCGCCACAGAATTCCGTGAAGAGGTGACCATGCAACCTCAGTGGCATTCAGCCAGGAGCGTCAATGTGGCTCCCACACCTGGGGGTCTGCAGGGGGTCTGCTGACCTAGGCGGGGCTTGTCCAGGGTGGGCCGGCTCTGTCCCAGGTGCCTCTCCTCCTCTTCCTGGGACCAGCCAGCTATCCCTGTGCAGGGGGCATGCGCAAAAAGGGCGAGTTTTCTTGGCTGCGTCCAGAGTCAGGCAGGCTTGAGGGCCCCAGAGGGCGTTCCCTTCTCACCGGAGGGCACAGCAAAGTTGCCGGGCGCGAGGTGTGGGCACGTGACCCCGTCACTGCGGAGGGCAGGAAGAACTGGCACAACACACTTATCTCCCATAGAATTAAAACTCTGCTTCCCGATTTTATCATTCCCCCGGAACATGCCGCGTCCCCGAGTGGCTGCGTTCTGCTCGCCGGAGTCGGGTCTCAGGGTGCCTCGGTGTGGGGTGACTCTTCCGAGCCCCTGCCCCTCAGCGAGCACCCCATCGCGCAGCCTGAGCTTTGAACACCCTGGCCGTCGGTGGCGTGGCACGAGTTGGCTGTGCTGCCTGCGTTTTTCATTGACCTCGCCATTCTCCTTATTTCAGGGACAGCCGGGGTGGCGGGGGACGTGATCGCCACCAAAATCGTCGAGCTGTCCAAGAAGAACCGGGTGCTGATGGCAGAGTCAGAGGGCGCGAAAACCAGAGCGAAGCAGCTGAGCAAGCGCGTCCAGGAGCTGGAGCAGGAGGTGAACAGCCCCGTCGTTCCCGCTGCTGGAGGGGGCTCGGCACCCGGGCCACTCCTGCAGAAGGGGGAGCCACACCTACGTGCTTCGGGTCCTTCTGAAGGGCTTGTGGGCCAGCATCGGCAACACGTTTCTCAGTCCTTGTCACACCCCGAGAGGGTAAAGTGTGTTGGGAAGTGAGGGGACACAGGTCACGGAGAGGCAGCCCGGCACAGCGGTTAGGACACGGAGCCGGAGCCCAGCTGCCTGGGTGCGGGTCTCAGCTCCATGCCCGACCTGCTTGGGGACTTTGAGCAAGTTGTAAACGCTCCGTGCCTTCGTCTCCCCGGCCTGTCACATGGCAGCACACAGAGCCCTCGCCCGAGGTCTTCTGAGGACTAACCAACACAACACGTAGAACGGGGCCCGGCGTGCAGTGAGCACTGGACACATGTTTGTCGAATGCACGAGCAGGGGTCCTTGCTAATCGGGAGCTGGGGGTCTCACTTCTGTCCGTCTCCCCTTTCTGCCACCCCCCTGCCCTCCCACGGCCGATCCCTAAGCCCTCCAGTCTGGCAAGGGCGCGGCCCAAGCGGTTCCTGGTCCCTTAGCGGTGAGAATGGGAGCCATGGCCAGACAGGACCTACGCTGCCTCTCCTTGTGTGGCTGAGGGAGCCGAGGCTGGGGGAGGCTGAGAGGCGTCTAAGCCGTACCGTGGGTGGTGGTGCCGGATTCCGGGTCCAGCTCTGCTGCTCTCTCTCTGATCCCCGCCTTGGTCGCTGTGCTTGGCATGGAGCTGGGGCTGCGTTTTCTCTAACCCGTCTGCCGAGAACATCTCGGGCTGCGCGCCAGGCCCTGGGGAGACTGTGGGGAACGAAAAGGTCCTGGCCCTTGCCCTCCTGGGAGACAGACCAGCAGCACCCAGGGCCTCTCAGAGGAGGGGCCTGCACGGGGGTCCCAGCAGGACGAGAAGGAGGGGAGGGCTCCCCCCCCCATAGCAGGTGTGAAGGCCGTGAGTGGGGAAGACCTCTGGAAAGGAGACCAGTATGCCTGGAGTGGAACAACATGAGGTCACTGATCTGTGGGGGGTCACCCCCAGCCTCGTTCAGAGCCGGGGGCCTGGCCTTTGTGTGAAGGGCAGTGGGGACACCAGGAAGGGTCTGTTGGCTGTCTGTGTGTGGTGGCGGTCTCGGCCCCCAGGCCTGGGTCCAAGCAGCGGGTTCCTCAGGGTCTCCTCATCCGGAACCTGAAGCCCCTGACTCCTTCGCCCGCCACTCCCAGACCACTGTTGGACCACTGTTGGACACTATCGATGAGGTCGTGGGTGAGCCCCAGGGCTGCTCCGCCATGCGGCCGGGAGGCAGGCAGACAGCCCACCACACCCCCTCCCACCGAACAGTTAGCAAAGGAGGTTCTTCCACTGGTGATCCTAATGTGTGCGGAAAGGTGACCACACACCCAAGGGTGGCACCAGAGCACCTCACCTGGGCACCGCCATCACTGAGCCGAATTAAATACTAAGTGTGAGGTTTGCTTTTTCAGCTGCAGACGGCCCTGGCCAGGCTGCCGGCCAAGGGAGCCACCGATGCAGGAGCCAGGACGCCGAGGGCCCAGGCGGGAGACAGAGCCTTGGTACGAATTCTCCTCTGTGCTGGGGGGTCCGTGAGGCAGCCGCTGGCCCAGGTCTCCCGCTTCCACGGCGTGTAGGGGCCTCTGTCTGGGGTCCCCCCCCTCCCCTGCCCGCCGCACTGGGGAGCCAGTGCTGCTGTCACAGGATCCGCCGCAGGAGAGCTGTCGGGGAGCGGATACCCAGCGAGGACCGCCCCGGCCGAGGCCCGGGAGGGTCTCCCTGTGATTCAGTCCCCAGAGAGGGGGACCAGGAGAGGCCTGAGGACCCTGGGGCCCTAGAATTTCAGGCCCAGGAGGGAGGGCCCGGTTCAGCCGGCTGCCCGCTCTCAGCCCACTGGGGAGAGAGCCGACCTCTACCTTACCCCAGGGACTGGGGGCTCACTGCTGCCCTGTGGACCCCTGCTTTGGGGGGCAGTTTACGTTGTGGCCCCCCGGGGCCAAAGAGTGGAGTGACTGCTGGGAATGGGGGCTCGTTCCCGCAATGCCGCTTTACTCAGCAGCAGTGAACCCAGGACGTGTGAATGGCAGCTCCGTGGAAGCAGGCAGGCTGGCCCCGTGGGCTGCAGGGAGGGGGACGGAGCTCAAACCAGAGAGGAGATAGCTCCAGAGTCTCCAGAACACCCCAGGAGGCCTCCCCAGGGGGTTCCCTGGGAAGCCAGACCGGTGGGTGACCCAGGGGTCCAAGCCTCATGACTCCTCTCCCAGCCCCTCCTCCGCTGCCTACAGCTGGGGACCGAGTGGCTTCGTGCCTGTCGGGAGGAGAACTCCGTCCTCGTGTGCAGTGACGGGACCCTCGGGTGCCGGGGGTGGAGACGCCTTCCAAGGGCCCAAGGGCTCTCGTGTAAACCTGCTCCATGCTGGGGAGGCAGAAGAGGGGCTCCACGCTCAGCAGGGGCTGGCCGGAGTGGTCCGGGCCTTTGCTGGCCCCGGGGTGTGTGCTGGGCACCCCCCGGTTTGTCCAGAGCGCTGAGCACGGCCATGTGCCTGACCCTGACGGGAACCACCCCCAGATGGGAAAGTGCTTGTCCGGGCCCTTGTGGAGCCCTGTGACCCCGAGAATCAGACAGGGCCCCTGTCCAGCAGGGAGCCCCAGAGGAGAGACGAGTGGCCATGTTGAAGGAAGGAGGTGGACAGGGCCTTCCGAGAGAGGCCCGGGCTCCGAGGTCTCGGAGGGAGCAGGCCCCTTGCCTGAGGGGGCTGGGAGGGGGTTCCACAGGGGGGCCTTGCTGGGGATGGGGTGTAAGGGGGGGTCTGCCACCAGGGGAGCCAAGGCTCAGAGGCCGGGAAGCCATCAGCACTTGCATCATGCTCGCTAGCTGGGCGTCAGCTGGGTGACGCCTGCCTCCCTGTGGCCCAGGCCCGGGGGGAGGGAAAGGGGAACAGGAGGCAGAGAGAGCAGCGGCCTTGGGCGGCAGCTGGAGGGGCCCTTCCAGCTTCTCCCACGGCTGCAGGGAGCCTGCCTGGTTTCCGCCAGCAGAGTGGGCGGTGGGCCGCCGGTCTCAATGCATCGGTGCCGTGCGTTTTCTCTGGGCCTCCTCTGATCCGAGAGAGAGCAAAAGCAACGCTCCCCCCTCTGCAGACGGTGCAGGCGGCCCAAGCCACACCGCCAAGGCCTGCAGCCTCACCCCGCATTCCTCCGGCCCCAGAGCTGCGAGCTCATTCCCCTCATTCCCAGGGGAATGGGCAGCCCTCCCCCGCTGGGGCTGCAGGGCCTGGGGCGTGAACGGCGCTGGCCCTGTCTGCTCCCCACAGGCTGGGTTCCGGCTTTGTCCCCAAAGAACCGAGCCGTACCCAAGCCCCCGACAAAGCCTGTGCAATTTCGCTCTGGGTGAAGACAGCTCAGTGGGCGGGGGGAGGGGGGGCGGGGGGCGGGGGGGCGGGGGGCTGGAAGAAGCGTTGGCCCACCCGATGGGCAGCAGAGGGGTAGAGCTGAGCATGCCGGGGGGCCCAGCCCCGACCGAGCACCACTGGGCCCTCAGCCCCTCCACCAGCCCCCCGCTCGAGTCAGGTAGGGCCCTGGCACCGCCCTCTGTCGGAATCTGCCGCACAGCGCCTTGCACGTGTTATCCTATCAACACGCATGGGACCTGGACACTGGGTTTGCACCCCCCACTTTACAGATGAGGAAATGGGGTTCTCGATCCAGGTCTTCTCTGCTTGCTTGTCCCGTGCTCCAAGCAGGCCGACAGCGGGCACACGGGGGGCTGTCATGCACCCTCGAAGCCCCCACATCCCCACCCCACAGGGCCGGTGGGGCTCAGGGCCCGGGGTCTGGCAGGCGGGGCGTTGCCGCCCACTGCAGGGCGGGCTCAAAGCAGCGCCCAAGCAGGCAGGAGACAAGCCCCACAGCAGTGAGGAGGGGCGGCAGACAGCCAGACGGGGGACACGTAAAATGTGGCTTCAAAAAGGGTGCATTTAGGTGTGGTGGAAGTTTCCAGCGTGCAGATTCTGCTCACACTGCAGGTTCTCTGCAGCCGCATGGTGGCGCTGTGGAAGCCGGACAGGGAGGCGTTTCGTACTGTTCCATAGACCAGGACACCTGACGCGGCCAGGCTTTCCAGCCGCGTGTCCGGGTCTCGTCTCCCTGGCCGTGGTTTTCGGCCGGGCTGCCCAGAGCCTTTGGGGCCCACGGAGCGTCCCAGACCCCAGTGACTCAGACCTGCCTGTCTCACTGGCTGCAGTTCTCAGAGAGCCACAGCGGTCCCCACCCTGTTTGACCCCCTGAAGTCCAGCCCACCTGGTGTGTTGGGACAGGAGCAGAGAGTCTCAATGTCATTGTTGGATGGGACGCTCAGCCCACCAACCACCGTTCCCGCTGCCACGGTGCCTGGGCGTCAGCAGCAGCTCACGGGAGTGGCGGGGAGAGTCAGCCGGTGTGGGGGAGGGGCAGGCTCCTGAGCCCCCTGCTGTCGCCCCCACCCAGCCAGCCAGCTGTGTGCCGAGGGCAAGTTGCTTCCCCCTCTCTGAATCTTATTTTCAGCACCTAAGGAGGGGGTTTGAACGGGCTGACCTCGGCACCCCTTTCCCACCAGACTTTCAATTCTCAGGACCTTCTGTTGAAGACAGGAAAATGGGCAGCATTCAAATAGTTTCAATCAGACATCACTTTTTTTTTTAAAATTTCTAAGTTTCAGCAGGCAGAGTTTTCGTGGTGGCTGCAGCTCTGCCGGCCACAGATGGGGCATCTGGGAAGTAAACGGGGTCCTTATTTCTGTCCTGTGAGCTCACTGCCAGGACGGGGAGCCCCAGGCCGGGGCTGCGGGTTCCAGGGGAGGGAGGCCCCGAGTCTGGGGGGTCGAGGCGCTCCTGCCAAGCCGAGGCTGCCGTCTGCAAAGGAACTAGGTCCCTCTTTACCCCGAATAAAGATGGATGCCCTGTGGTGGGGTCGCCGGTCTCCGGGCACAGCAGGGCGTCCACACCCAGGGCGTGTCTGGGAGGTGCAGAGCCTGCGGGTCTCCTCTGTGGCCGCCGCCAGGGTCAGGGGTGTGCACGACACCCAGAACCAAGGGCTCGGCCCCCAGAGTCAGGGCTGCCAGGACCCTCACCCGTCAGGCCCCAACCAGGCACCCCACGTCACGGGAACTCGGCCTCCAGCAGCCTCTGCGTTGCATCTCCAAGGGGCCTCCGGGAGAACCTACCTCCCGGGGGTGCGCGAGGGCTGAATGGGCTGCCCCTCGTCTAACACTTAGCATGGCGCCCAGCGCACGCCGGGGGGAAAACGGGGCCTCAGTCGTTACTACTGCGGAGGCGACGAGTGACTGCTCCCCCGTCTTCCCCAACCAGCCCGAGGCCCCCGAGGTGAAGGTCGCGCAGGACAGGCTGGCGGCCGCCAACTTGAAGATGAGTGACCTACGCAACCAGGTCCAGTCTCTGAGGCAGGAGCTCCGGATGGCCCAGAAGGTAATTCAGAGCCAGACTTCAGGTCTCCTTGGCCGGGGCCGGGCTCGGGACCGGCACGACGGGGACAATGGGCCCCATTCAGGCACTAGAGAGGGCTCGGCCCCGTGAGCATCACCCTGCTCGCTCTGGGTTGAGCTCCAGGGCTAGTGACACCCTTCCACCGGCCCTGGGGACAGACCTTCTGGGCGAGCGGGGTTGCTGGCCGCCCGAGGGGCCCTGCGTTCACGCCCTCGCCACGCCCGCCCAGCTGTGGACCGAGGAGGACAGTGCTGCCCAGCCAGGCAGAGTCCTTAAAATCTTCCTCGTGTCGTGTGTGCGGCGTGCACCCGGACAGATCCCGGGTCTCTCGTTCGTAAGACGCCTTGGACTTGGAAGCCTGGCCGGACCTGCCTCCGGCCCTCTGCCGTCTGTAATATCAGAAAAATGAATAGGCGGTTTGTGTACCAAAGGCCCCTTTCAAAGGAAAATCGTCAGACTTGGGATGCAGGCCCAGCTGGTTCATTATTTATTTGTATTTACACAGTGAATTCTCTGGCGTTTGTCTTTCCGGCTGGAACCACTCAGACCGGCCAAGATTTCCAAAACAGAGCTCTATTGTAGAGACAGGCCCCAGAGACTTGGGGCAGGAGCTCAGGTTTCCGCCGGGCTGCGGAGGGGCCCAGGGCCCCCGCTGAGCGTGCTGTTTCCACCTCCAAGCCCGGAGGCGGGGCCTGAACACCCCCAGCCATCAGCCACGGCGCCGGGCCCCTCTGGAACCGAGCACCCCTGGGTGACATTCAGAGGCCCCCTCCCTTGCTGCCCTCAGCCGTGGCCCCTTGTCCGTGGCTCTTCTCAGAGGGCGAGGCCCGGTGGCAATGCACTTCCTGGAGCCGTCCGGAATGACCCTGAACAAATTCAGGCGGTTCTCATTCCAGAGCACGTCAAGAGCAAGGGGCCCTGCCTAGGCCTTGTGGGCAATTCCTTATCCACTCTGAGCATCGCCAAGAAGTGCTGGGGGTGGGGGGTCTACGCTTCCCCAGGGCCGGCTGCTCTTGAGGCCCGGTCGGCTGGCCTTTGGGGCAGGAAGAAGGTTGGCCGGGCAGGGTCTGGGCTTCCTGGGGGCCTCTGGACAGGGCTCCGGGGCCCTCTCTCCCGGCCTCACTGAAGGCCCCGCCCCTTCAGGTGCTGGCCAGTGAGGTCGGGGAAGATGTGAGCGTCCAGCAGCTTCTGTCCTCACCGGGGACTTGGAGGGGCCGGGCTCAACAAATTCTCATTTTGCAGAGCAAGGTGAGTGAGTCATCACACTCCGGCCCGCCCGGAACTCTGGGGCTTGAAATGCCCCAGAAAGACCCACCCTGGCCCCCAGCGGAACCCAGAGCCCCGAAAGGCCCCCCGCAGGGCCGTTGTCCCACATTCTTCCCCACCCAGCCTGACTTTAATTTGTTACTTAATGAACAAGCATTTACATAACAGTTACCATGTGCCAGGCTCTGGCGCTCAGCGAATGCCGAGGCCTTTGATTTATTTGACTCCAGGCTGTAGTTTTTTTTTCCCCCCGAGTTTATGTAAATTTGCGTGACTAGTGTGCTTTGTAGGCCTTTTCCAGTTTTGTCCAGATGCTTGTAGGCTTTTAAAAGTCTTAATTACCCAATAAAAACTTCGCTTTGTCTCCGTCTTTCTGTTCTGAGCATTTGAAGCCTCCCCAGAGAGAGCCCAGCTGCAGGGACTCTGACCCCTGCTCCCCCCCCTTCACCAGCCGTGTGGCCTCGGGCAGGGGCCTTCCTCTCTCCTGCCTGTGCTACCTCGCCCATGCACAGTGGGTGCGGTGGGATGAGGCCCTGTGTGTGTGTGTGTGTGTGTGTGTGTGTGTGTGAGAAATGCCCAGTGCAGGGCCAGGCACAGGCGGAGGAAGCGCTGCACCCAGGTTAGCTGTGGTTATTTTCCTCATTTTTGCCTTCAAACCAGGGAACACCAGCAGGTGTGTTAACTCCCCAGTTGCCGAACACTGTGCCTTCACCCCAGGGAGTTCAGGGTCATGGCCCCTGGATGGGTGGCCTTTACCCTCAGGGTTTCCTGGGCACGACCTTGAAGCCACCACGGAGGGGCAAAGGTCTCAGCGTGTGGCCTTGGGGTTCAAGAGACCGCAGTGTCAGGCAATTCTCTGCTCGGTGCCTCAGTCTCCTCCCCTGCAACGTGGAGATGATCGCACTGTATTTTTCTTGTGGGCTTTTGAGGGTTCAGTGAAATAACCCTTGTAGAGCACAGTGCTTGGGCACAATAAGCAGTCCACCCATTAATTATCTCTGTTGTTAAATAGTGTGAATACATTGTTAGAAGTAATCCTGTGTTCTTTGATGCTTCATGGAATGACCACACAAGGCCACACGAGGGCGCTGTGGTGTGTTTCCACACACGGCCCCTGACCAGTGGTGAGCCTGGTGAGTTTTGCCCCGGCCCAGGTTTACCCAGCTTGGTTCCATCATGCATGTTGTGTTGACACAGGGACCAGGGTTACAAGGAGTAACCCTAGGAGTTTTCCACTTGAACCCCAACGTGATAAAGCCACCGTTTCATGGGGTGACATCTCCCAGCCCCTTGCAGAGACGAGAGCCTTTGAGAGCCGGACTTGGCACCCAGGGCGTCACCCGGGCCATCTCCGGGTGTCTCGAAGCTGCCTCACCCTAAGTATCCCCCGTAGCACCGGTGCAAAACGCAGGTCCCCGGGTCCTTCCCCTGGAGCTCTGACTTGTTGATCTAAGCTTGGTCATTTCAAGAAGCATCTCGGGGGTTCCCAGGCTCAGACAAGTTCAGGGCACCGAATGTTCCTAACAGCATTATCAGGGTGGACCCTTAGGGCCATTTCACAGGTGAGAGGCCCGAGACTCAGAGAAGTCAAGTAATCTGTGCGGGGTCACACAGCTGGTGAGGCTTTGCACTGGGCCCACGGTCCACACCCACCCTGCCCTGTGCAGCATCTCCCGTCAGCGGCCAGGCACCGGGGCCTCCCGGGGAGCACACCACCTCGTGGGTGGCCTGGCTGTGAGAGCTCTTGCTGGTCCTGAGACCTTCCGTCCTCTCCCTCCCAGCTTCCTGGGGCCTCGCGTCTGCTGCTCAGCCTCAAACCCCTCAGAGGTGGGGGTGATTTCCCCCATTTACTTCGAAGTTTCTCTCTTCCAAGCTAAACCTTTCCAGCTTTACTCGGGATGCCACCCCGGGGTGAGATCCCGCCCCGCCCCGGTCCCTCTCACGAGGGGCTCCCACGTCCGTCTGTCCGGCGGGGTTTCCCGGCACGCCCCAGGGCGGTCCCCCCCACCCCCCCAGCAGTTGAGTCTGACCGCGGACGGCCGGTGGAACAACGCGTCTCACCGCCCTCAGGTTCGGGAGCTTGAGAAACAGTTGGGACAGCCCCAGAGCCGGGCTGTGGGAACAGCCAGTGATGAGCTGTCTGTCTGTCCAGACCCAAGGAAGCTGACGGCACAGGAGAGGAACCTGCTGAGGATCCGCCTCTTGGAGAGGGAGAAACAGGAAGGCTGGGAGGTAACGCGTGCGTGCCCCGGGCCACGTCGGTCAGCTGGGGCAAGTGGGACCCAGAGATCGCGACCGCCCTGGCCAGGACTCGGAGACGCCCCCGAGAGCAGGAGGCACCCCGGGAGTTGGGTCACCTCCCTCTGTGTGTGTTCCTCACATCCTGTCGATTCCACCTTGAGCCTCCTGGTGGGCTCATGAACTTTGGGTGGCCCCATCCTGGCTGCTCTAGAGATGCTGAACCCGACACTTCCACTGTAAAAGGAGAGGGAAAGCGCCCCGATCCCGGGCGTGTGCAAGGGTTAGGCGGCCTTGAAGGAGGAGCGCTCCGGGCTGAGGCAAGAGCTGGCAGGCTGGGACCAGCTCCAGGGCCTGCATCTCCCCAGCTGCACAGACTGGCAGAGCCAAACGCCCCCAGGCTGATCCAGGAAGGGGATGCATCAGCCCTTGTAGCCAAAAGGTGGAGGGGTGGCCTCGCTGCAGGCACAGATGGATCCAGGCAGGGGTGGAGGGGTGGGGTCCACCCCTGGAGGACAGGCCCGGAGGTGGCCAGTAGGGTCCCTCTCATGTCTGACTCTGGCAGAGCAGGGCAGCCGCCTGCACGTTTAAGCGGAGGGGAAGAGTGTCGTCATCCCCTAGGGATGCCCGCTGTGTGCTCAGGCAAGACCTGGGGTTGGGGCCCCAGCTCTGCCGACTTGCCCCATGGCCATCGACAAGTCCCCTCTCCACGTTGGGCCTCCCCATGAGTGGGAGCGAGGGCCCACTGAGCCCCACTGCCCAGGGCCATACTCTTCTGCTTCCAGAAACTTGCCGGTGAGCGGGACGCCCTGCAGAGAGAGCTGGAGGAGCTGAGAAGGAAGTCCGAGGGCCTGAGGGCCCGGAACAAGGTGCTGGCCAGCGAAGCGAAGACCCTCCGGAATCAGATGGGGACCCTCGTGGAGAAGGGCCGGCACGACGACGAGCTCATCGACGCCCTCATGGTGCGGCCCAGAGCGTGGGTGGGGAGCTGGGCCCGGCCACGGGGAGCCCTCGCTTGCCCCCAAATGCTGCCTGCATAACCCAGGAGCCATTGCCTCCAGAGGGACCCCAGCCCCAAAGCCCCGCCCCAGGGGCGGAGCAGCTCGGCGGCTGCCCACGGGTGCAGAGAGGGCATGCGGTGTGAGGCCCGGGGCCTGCATACAGGAGCCTGCAGCCCCTGAAGAAGAAGGAAATGGTGAGGGGGGGGCGACCAGGATTGCACCCCGGGTTACCTTTCAGCAAGAAATGGAAGGGACAGCTGAGGGGCCGGTACGAGTCCTTGTCACTGCGGTGACTCAGGGCCTCTCCTCTTCGGGGCCCCCGGGGACCAGTTATAACGGCTGTTGGCCAACAGAACCGCTAGGGTCACATGTTGCAATCCCATTTCACAGACGGGGAAAGTAACTGGTTAGGAAAGTCACCCGAGACCATGCAGCCGAGTCCAAACCAGGTGTACCTGGCCGTGACACCTTCTCTGAGGAGCAGTGCCGCGCTGCTGCCCTGAGCCTGGCCCGGCCTGTCCTTTCCGGGGCCTGTGGCACCCCAGGGTCTTGCCTCTGAATCCCAAGTTGCGCTTGGGGTGGCCTCGCCTGGTTGACCAGGGTCCGCAGGGGAACTGATGCTGGCTTAGGCCCCCACTTAGTCCACGATCATTTCCCCGGCGGGGCACAGGACACCTCCCTGTGTCCCCTAGGCCAGCTGCGTCCCCTCTCTGAGCCTCAGCTCCCAGTTTGAAAACAAAGTACGGGGCTGGGGGCCCCCCGAGGTCCCGGTGTGCCACCTTTCTTTGTCACTGAAGGTGGCATGATGAGAGCGGGTCTCCCGGTAGCATGGGATAGGGCGGCTTTTCACCCAAATGTTGCCCCCACTGGCTGAGGGGCCACCATCTGAGCTGCTGTCCGTTGTCCCAAGAGCCCCTTGGATGTCCTCCTTGGCCCTGATCTCAAGGAGAAGAAAGTTGAGGGCAGGATTAGGGCATGGTGGCCACCTGCCTGGAGAACCCCCCAGCATGCAGGCAAGAGGGAGTTCCTCCTGCTTTTCAGGGGAACACCAGGGCCCCACTGTGAGGCTCCTGGAGGCCTGGGGAATGGCGGGGTGCTGCTGGTGGCGGCGGGGGCGGTCTCCCCTTGTCCCTCCTTACCCAGGGGCCCTGGCTGACCTCCCTGCCCTCCTGCTTGCCCCCGCCGCGCCCCCCCCCCCCAGGACCAGCTGAAGCAGCTCCAGGAGGTCCTGGGGAGCCTGAGTCTGCAGGAGGAGAAGACACGCGCCTCCCAGCACCGCCTGGGCCAGCAGCTCAACAACGAGGCTCAGCAGAGCAGCAGCCTCGTGGCCCAGCTGCGCGCCATGGTGGCTGAGCGGGAGGCCAAGGTGCGGCAGCTGGAGCTGGAGATCGGGCAGCTCAGTGTGCAGGTGAGCAGGGCGCTGGCTTGGCCCGCCATCCAGAGACACCTCGGCCACTCCTGCCTCTTTCCACTTGCCTTTATTCAGGTCGCACCTCGTCCTACCTGGTCCCACTTTGGCCCCCTGTGTCCATCTGGCTCCCCGGCCCGTTCTGCACACACCTTTCCTCTCTAAGGTGCAAACCCGATGGTCTCCCTGCTCTGCACAAAATCTGTCGGTGACTGCCCATCACCCTTGTCCTCATGCAGTCCTCAAGGGCCCGGGCTCCTTCCAGCTCACCCCTCACTCCCCAGCTGTGGCCCGCATCCTCCTGATCCAGTATGGTGGCTGGAGTGCCAGCCTTCACACTCACATCCCAGGCAGCAGCAGGAAGTCACACGTCCTCATCCAGCGTGCAGGGCACCAGGCGACCAGCTCTTCCCTCCACCCCTTCCTTTCCGCCACACTCTGGCCATGGGGATGTCATTCAGCTCCTGGCTCGGCCCTGCTCTGTCCCCACTCCAGGCCTGTGTGCTCACCTTCCCTTTCCAACCGCCCCCCCCCCTTAGGTCTCACTTACCTGGTCTGAGCGCCTCTGGGAAGCCCCAGGGCCACCCCTCTCTGTCATACCCCCCTCCCGGGCACTCTGTGAGCTCCCTGTCTGTGCGCCCCTGAGCCGAGCTTCTGTCACACCGTGCGATGGCTTCCCAGGTGTTTCCCCCAAGGGCCCCTGGAGGGGACACAGACCACAGCAGCGTCACCATGCAGACTCAAGGGACATGCGTGCTGAGTGCACAAGCTCCTGAAGACATTGAGCCTCAGCTGCAGCCTCGAGGGAGCAGCCCAGGCTGCTGGGGGTCAGGCGCTGTGGTGTGGGGTGGGGGAGGGGTTTGGTGACCTCTGTGGAGAAGGATCCCTCCACATCCACAGGTTTCCCAGCGACAGAGGCGCTCACAGCCAGGTTGACTGGTATGGTCACGGGTGTGTCTCAGAGTGTCCCAGCCCCTGTCCTGGGGCTCTGTGGTCCAGTGGGAGGATGGGAACCCAGGAGGCCCTCGACCCCAGGCTGGTGCCGGCTGCGATGGGCGGTTTGCCCTGCAGCCACAGGATTGGCCAAGGTAGAGAACACCAGAGCCCCTGAGTCCCAGGAGTCCCAGTCCAAGAAGGCGGAGGCTGAGAGGCTGAGGGAGAGCAGGGGCAAGAGCCAGGCCTGGGGACAGAGCAGGTGCGGCAGTGAGCGGGGCGTCTCCTCCCGGCCCCCTGGCTCACCAGGGGGGGAAGCCTGAAGGGGGGCACCCAGGACATTCCAGCACCTTCACCTCACCACCTCCAGGCTCCAGGCACGCAAAGGAGGACCCATCCTCCCCTCGACGGTCACCAGCCCGCTGGGGGGGCTGCGCACGACCCACCAGACAAGTTGGCGCGTGCCCCGGGTTCGCTCAGAATGGGTGGGACGGGGACACGGCAGGTGTTGGGGCTCGTACCAGCTGTCCACTCCCTGCTGGCCTCCTGCCGGGTCCTCCAGTGGTCCCGCTCCAGCCAGGCTGGGAAGCCCAGCCCCGCCGCCCCCACAGGCTGCCAGCCTGGCTGAGGCCCTGCTGGCCCCTCTGGCTGCAGGTGCCTGGAACACCCGAGTGTCCCCCGCTGACAAAGGCAGCTGGCCTCAGTCACACCTGGCCGTGTGGGTGGGGCTGCTGCCAGGGGAGACGGGCCCACTCGGGACGGGACGTCAGGCTCTGATCTGCCCGAAGGCCACGACACACTTCCCCTGGAGACCCGACTGTCCTCACACCGGCAGCTCCTCTCTGAAGGGAGGCATTGTCAGCTGCCATTATCATGCAAGGGGGCCCTCCGCCACACAGGCCTCGCCTTTCACTCCTGGAGAGAGGCAGCTTTCATGTCCCCTGGCAGCCCCAGAATCAAGCCAGGGCCCCCTCCTGCTTATCCAGGCCTCTGAGCCAAACCCTGAGAATCAACCCCGTGTCTGTTCCCTGCAGTATCAGCAGAATAAAGGAGGGGGCGAGGGGTCCAGTGGGCCCAAGGTCAACCCCACGTACACCACGTTCCCGGAGGACCCGGGCCAGGCCAAGCCCCCGGCCTCAGCAGGCGACGGCGTCAGCAGGCTGGGGTCGTCCCGGTGAGTAACGAGCGGGCCGGGGTGGGGGCGGGTTGGGAAGTGGAGATTCACTATTCGGAACATAGGACGTTTCCCGCTGCCTCTGCTGGGAAGCCGCGGCTGTGCTTTTAACGTGGCTGTGGCCTTGTCCTTCCAATTCTGGGGCCTCTCTTCGGTGCCACTGCACCAGCGTCTGGTTGCCGCTCCCGGTGACATCCTCTCGGAAGTCACCGGCTTCTAGGATCCACCACACAGGCCTGGGCTGGGCTGCCGGAGGCTCTGATGTCCCCTGGTTCTCTCGTTTCGAGCAAGAGTTCTGGAGAGAAGAGCAGCAAACCCACAGGGTTGCTGCGAGGGCCCGCGCCGGCCAGCGCCTCGGGCCGCCCCCCCCCCCCCCCCCGCACCCCCCGCCAGATCCTGGCTGGCCCCGCACCCCGCCCAGCCTGCCTCCCCATGGTGACAGGCCCCTTTGCCTCCACACAGCTCCGTGACCAGCCTGGGCCACACGCTCGTGGAATCTTCTCTCACATGGCCTTCCCTGCCCAGTCCCCATGGGGCCTCACCCAGGTAAGAACCCCGGTTCCCCGGGGCCCTCTCGGTCCTTCCCATCCTTGATCGCCCAGCCAGGATGGCCATCCCATTCCAAGGAGGGAAATGGAGGCTGCACCAAGGCCAGCAGTCCGTCCAAGGTCACCCCAGGGCATCAAGGGCCAGGGAGGGCCAGCGCCTCGTCCACGCGGTCCGGCTTCAGCGCTAGCCTTGGGCGGCTGGTGTGCAGCCTCGTGTTCCTGCTGCCACGGAGCTGGCAGGGGTCTTCCAGGGCCTGGGGCCCAGCACCTCCCCTTGGCTTCCTCTGCCCACTGAGAACCAGTCTCTTGGGGAGAGCTTCGCATCACGTGCGCTCCTACTGCGAGGCTCTGATATCCCCCCGGGTCTCCAGCCCCGTCTTTGCGAGGGAATCAAGATTTGGGGCTAAAAGGGGCCCTTTGTTCGTCCTGCCAGCGCACAGATGAAGGGAAGCTTTGTCCTGCCTCTGGGCCCTGTCCTGAACCCTGCGCACCCCTCTGTCAGCATCAGCGGGACCCAGCCCTGCCCTCAGCCCCGCCCCACCCCCGCCCGCAGGCAGGCCGGCTAGGGTTCTGGGTCAGAGCCCCTGAGTGGGACCAGCCCCTCCTTGGACTTGCCCGAGGCTCCGTGCAAATGAGGGAGTACCTGAGGCAGCCCTGGCCTGGCATTCGGCAGACAGGGACCAGGGGCAGAGGCCGGCCCTGCAACTGCCCCTCTCCTCAGAGGGCCCCTGGGGGCAGGGGGGCCACCTCTGAGCCCCGGGGCTCAGGCCATGGAGAGAAGGGACAGGTGCTGTCTCGCTGAGGTTTCAGGAGGTGGAGAGGCATGGAGATGGACCAGATGGCCCCTCGAGGTCCCTTCCACCCCGTGTGGCCAGGACCCTTGCACCCACGGAAAGGGAGGAGCCAGCACGCCCCTGGCTGCCCAGCCTGCTGGTTCCCCAGCTGGTTTCTCCCACGACATTCAGTGAACCTGTCCACACGCAGGCCCTGCCTCTGTGGAGCTTACAGTCCCCTCCCATCAGTGACAGCCAGCGTGCAGGGGCGGGAGTGACCCCAGAGAATGTGTCTGTCAGGGATGGCATGGGGACTGGTGGGGTGCCTGGGAGCGGGGTGGGGGGAGGGAATCAGCTCCTTCCTCCTGCCACCCCTCCCCCACACTGTGCACCCAGATCCTCGGGGGCCCACCAGGCTAGGGGTGGGTTCCGAGTCAGCGCAGGTCTGGGCCGGAGACGGGGATCCCGAGTTTCTGCCAGGCTCCCAAGTGATGCCCCCCGCCGCCGACTCAGAGACCACCCTCCGAGCAGAAAGGCCTTTGAGCGTGTTTAGGAGCCAGAACACGCGGGAGCCCGCGCCCTCAGAGCCCAGCGCAGCCTGCCCCGTGGCAGTGCGGAGGGTCGGCCGGGCCCAGGGAGGGGAAGGAGCTGCCCAAGACCACGGAGCACGTCAGCCTCTGGGCCCACGTGCCTGTGTCCTGTGACGCTGGGACAGCCAAGCCAGGGTGACCGGGGTCTCACTGGGAAAGGCGAAGGCAGAGCAGAGAGCAGCTCTAGGGGGTGGGGTGAGGGCAGAGCTCACCTTCTGTCCTGACCTCAGCCCCCGGGTGAGGGGCTGCGGGGCAGGCCCCATGGTCAGGAGGGAGGCAGAATGGGCCAAGTCACAGAGCCGAGTGTCCGGGCTTGCAGGGCATGGGCTGGGCTGGGGCCGACCCGGGGCCTGCAGGAAGGCTGGGACAGGCTGGCTCGGGGCAGGGAGGCCAGGCCCCAGGTCACACAGCTGCAGGGCACCCCAGGTCCCCAGAAGCCAGCCTCCACGGCAGCCAGACTAACTCCAGGCCCCTGCAGGTGTGGGATGGGCAGAGGTGCTGGTGCAGCCCTAGCCCTGGGGGAGGCTGGGATTGGAGCCAGCCGCAGGAGGGCTGGAGGCTTGGTCAGCAGGGCCAGCCAGCGCTGGTGGGCTGAGGAGGTGGCCAGGGCAGGAGGGCCAGGAGGGCTGAGGGGGACTGGGTTGGCTTCCTTCTGACTGTCCCTGACTGTCCTCAGCCCTGTCCCACCACCACCAGGGTAAGTGCGTCTTCAGGTGGCCCTTCACATGACCCTGGCCCTCCGGTCCTGGTTCCCAGGTTCTCGGACTCCCCCGAACAGAAAGGCTGGCAGGCTCAGGTGACGGAGTTCAAGGCTCTCTGGCAGGCCACCGAGGTGGAACGCGACCGGCTCACCGAGTTTGTCTCCGTCCTGCAGAAACGGTAACACCTGGGCTCAGGGGCGCCCTTTCCTGGGCCTACGTGGGCCAGGAGCGGGGTGGCCGGCCAGACCTCTGGGACAGGACCCGCCCCGTCCAGAACTGGGCCCACGTTACTGGAGAGTGTGGCTCCCGTGGTGTTGGCCCAGGGCGTCCCCAGACACAGCTCATGTCCCCACCCAAGTGCCCCACAGCCTGGGGGCCCTGTGGTCACTCTGTGGCTTGCCCTATCCTGCGTGCTCCTGATGGGGCTGTGGCAGTCAGGGAGACGGGAGGGGGGCCTCTCAGGGGAGAGACTCTCCGGAGTGGTTAAACCAGCCAAGTTTCCCCCGACACTGAAAGTCCACGGTGAGTGTGGCACCGTCCTGGGCACCAGTGGCGGCTAGACTGGCGCCTGACATGACAAAGAGGGAGAGAGCAAGCGCGAGCTGGGCGCTGGGGCCCCTCTAGGGAGGGCGAGGGAGGCGTGCGGCCCCAGGCTGCCGTCCAGCAGTACGGCTCCCCCACCCCCAGGGGCTGTTGACAGGCTTCCATTCAGATAAATCAGCGCTCCTCACTTGAGTGGCCCTTTTGGCAAGAAAGGCAGGTGCCCGCTCCAACACATGGCCTAACCACGCGACCTGCACCGTGACGGGATAAAGGACACCGCTGAGCTTCTGCCCTCCCGGGCCACCTCGCACATCAGTCAGGGCTCCTCGGTGACAGGCCAGAGAAGCCAACTCTGGCTGAGTGAAGGGGAGGGCAGATATTTGGAAGGCGCCGGCAGGCTCTGAGGCACGGAGCAGCAGAGAAGCTCACGAAGGCCCAGGGACCGTGGCAGCAGGAACCGTGGGCGGTCTCCCCTGGGCCCCTCTCGTGGCGAAGGCCCAGAGGCTTCCAGGTTGAGTGCCCGTGGGCCCCAGGAGAGAAGGTCGAGCTGGCCACGGTCGCTTGTGCATCCCTCCCTGGACCAGAAGTACCTCCGGGAGCTCACCGATGGGAGAGAGACAGTTTGTCAACGAGAAGCAAGGCGTACCTTTACCTGAGCAGTCGGGGGTGCCGGCAAGTGGTCGCCAGACAGCCGCCACCTCAGCAGGGACGCGTGGCCGGCGTTACCTGTTGTCCTTTCCATAGCACGTGGGGGAGGACCTGAGTTGCAGCCCGCTCAGGTCCAGCAGAGAGGAAACGGCAGTGCTCTGCCAATGACGGACAGGTGATGGACAGTGCAAGCCTGCGGTCCACCAGGTGGAAGACACACAGTCCGTTCGGGCTTCTGTCCCATTTCCTTCGAGCTGCGCCCGGGTCGTGTGGGCTCCAGGAGCCAGGATGACTCAGCGGATCTACCTCTGTGGGGGAGACCGCCCCCGGCACAGCGGCTGCAGACACAACGGTTCTCTCTTTCCAAAGCATGCGCAAGGCCTGTCCAGAAAGTACCCAGCCACATGCTGTGAACAAGAGAGACATTTATGGAAGAAGATACAAGAAACGTTGTACACAGGGCAGTGGTAGTTCAGCCACTTTCAAAGTAGGCACCTTGGGACCTCACACAGTTCTCCCAGGTGCCATCAGCTGCCCAGGCATATTTTCCTGAATCTCGCTGAGGGTCTGAAATCTCTTCCCTTTCAAAGGTGATTTTAGTTTTGGGAAAAGCCAGAAGTCGCAGGGTACCAAATGTGGGCTGTCGGGGGCTGAGTCACCTGGGGGATTTGATGTTTCACCAAAACACTCTGCAGAGACGGGATGCACAAGCAGGTGCATTGTCATGATGAAGCTGCTGGTCACCAGTTGCCCGTAGCTGCGGCCTTCTGCATCATCCGAATAGTTTCTGCGGAGGAATGTTCAAGCTTAACACACAACTTGTTGCAGATTCCTTGCTCTACTTAGTCATTTTGAATGCGACAGCCACACAGTACACCTACTCACTCAACAGCGTCCACTGCCCCCACTGACTAGTACAGTGAAGTCGTCCTTGTTCACACATGCGCATTCCAGTCCACTCTCCTGGGCTGCCAGGTTACATTGACGTCACACAAACTATTCTCATTATATTAACAATGGCTGGGCTTTTCCCAGACAGATCTCATACGTAGTTTGCTGTGTTTGTAACTTCCATCTGAGAATTTGTGTCTGAACAGCAAAGGTCAATACATTCTCATTTTTGTAATATTTGGAAATAGTTCAGTCATCTCTATATTTCCCACTTGGCATGATTTTTCTTTACTCTTTCTCTTCATTCTTCTCCCTTACAGTTTTGGATGGATCACGTTTTATTTCCCCATCTTGTATACAAGTTTGGAAGTTATACGTTCTATTCTTTTAGTGCTTACCCTTCACGTTATAATGTGAAACTCAGAAAGTCTAAGGTCAGTGGGTTTTTTATTGTCACTTTGAGCAACAGAATAAATTTAGTCTATGTTAGCTGGGGTTTCCCCACGTGCATCTTTCATGTTACTATTTTTTAATTCAATAATTTTTATTATTAAAAAAGATTTTATTTATTTATTATTTTTAGAGAGGGAAGGGAGGGAGAAAGAGAGAGAGAGAGAAACATTAACGTGTGGTTGCTGGGGGCCGTGGCCTGCAACCCAGGCATGTGCCCTGACTGGGAATCGAACCTGCTATGCTTTGGTTTGCAGCCCACGCTCAATCCACTGAGCTACGCCAGCCAGGGCTTCATGTTACTATTTTCTAATAGTCCTCTACATTCTGTTTTTAAATCCTCTGAAAGAAACCCTCCACATTTGTCAGGTTAAAAAACAGTCAACATTCACTTACTTTTGCCAACGTGCTTGAAAATGTCTTCCCACTCATTCTTGCTTCTTGCATCTCAATCTTTTCTTTTTTTCCTTCTACTCAGTTTTCTTTACTGTTGTGCATCCTTTATTTAGTTGGGAGAGGCCATAGGAAGGGCCAACTCTGAAGTCCTTGCTTATTTTTGCAACTCTGTGTCTTTGTTACGCCTTCTCGACAAGGAGAATATACTCGGGCATAGAATTCCAGGTAGACCCGTGGGTGTTTTTCCTCAGCCCCTGGAGGCTGTGATAGTCCTCTGTCTTTAAGCATCTGCTGTTGCTACAAAGAAATGTGTTATGGGCTTGACGTTTTTACTTTATAGATGTATCTGCCCTTCCTCTCTGGCTGCTTCTTCGGGGAGTCTCTCTGTCTTTGACATTTTGAGGTTTCACTATGATGTGCCAGGTATTTTATTTTATTTTATCTTATTTTATTTATTTTATTTTATTTTACATTATTTTATTTTTAATTTAATTTAATTTATTTTATTATTTTATTATTTTATTTTATTTTTATTTTATTTTATTTTTGCTATTTAGGAATTAGTGTGCTTTTCATTCCGAGGACTTCCATCTGTATATTGCCCCTCCCCCATGGTCCCTATTCTAGTCACTATGTGTTAGATCTTCTTATCTTTTCTTCCACTCTTAAACATTCTGAATATTTGGGCTAATTCCACTGTGGTTTCTTCAGCTCTGTCTCTGGCTCACTCCTTCCCTTCAGCTGTAATTCATCTGCCATGAAACCCAGTTTAATAACTGTGTTTTCCATGTCTAGCCATTCTTTTTTGTGTAAAACCTCCCGTTCACTTTCTTGTAGCATTTGCTCTTTCATGAAGGCGTCTTGCCTTTCTCTTTTCACGCTTTTCAACTCACTCAGTCCCTTTAAAGTTGCTCCGTCATCTTCCTTACTTAGGGGGCTAAGTAACACCCACTGACAGCCCCTCATGGTGAACTGTCTCCCGTGTGGTTTGCATTTTTGTGTTGTTTTTGTGAGCTCACCTCCCGTGTATTTTAAATTTTTTTCTCGTGGGAGTTCTCGGGTCGCGAAAGGGCTTCCCCAGAGTGGTTCTGCCTTTGTTGCCGTGGAGCTTTGGGGTTGTAGTGGTCACCGACTGGTCATTTATGCTAATTGATGGGTTTAGGATTTCCTGAGCGCAGGAGTGCTGGTCTTGTTTCCAAATGTTTCTAAACGTTGTGGGAACTCACAAAGTGCTTAGCATTTAATATGGTGTTTGCCGTTGGTTTCTTTTGCTATTCCCCCATCACAAATGGGATACCAACTTAAACAAAATGCAAGTGATGTGGATCCTGGCGGGCAGGATCCGTGTGTTGTGGCCGCGAGACCACGGGCCACAGAAGTCCCGTGGAGAAAAAGGGACGGCGTGGCCGCTCTCCAAGTGAGAAAGAGGGCCCGGCCCCTGCCTGGACAGGCTTTTATTGCTTTTCTGGGTACATTACATTGAGGATGGTCCTCATTTACTGTGCACAGGTTCGATGCAGGTGATTCACCTTTTACAGATGCCAAAGGAAAGAATGTTGCTAATTACTTCAAAGAGAAGGGTGTTGCAGACGCAGGGGAAAAGTGGTTGAACCGGTCACGCTCCATACTTGGGAGGTTGAGCACAGATTTGAGGAAGTTGCAGTAAGCCCTTGCTGCCTCAATTCCGGGTGAGGGAGTTTTAGCAAAAGCAAGTCTCATAGCAGCCTAGGTACGGTGCAAGCCTGGTTCCCCACGGGAGAACCTATCTGTGGCTGTGGCTCCTGCGTGCCACTCACTCCCTACTGGTTTTCCATGCAGGTGTTGAGCTACAATTCCATGCATGCAGAACAGCTCCCTATAGGCAAGCATCAGGGAAAAATGTAACAAAAGAATGAGGGCCCCTTTCCCATAGATAATGAGTCGGTCACTGCCAAAGATTCCCGCTTCAGTACACGGGCTGAACTGCATTAGCGCTAGTATGGACTTGTTTTTAAGTTTTCCATATCATACATTTTAAAGTTAGTTCATATATTATGCACAGTCTTCTGCCACTTATTTCGCTAAGTGATACATTGCAGGCATTCCTCCTGTCAGTACAGATGCTTTTTGCGGTTGCGGAGTGTTGTATTGCGTTAACCCACGACGATTTATGTAGCATTTATTTACGTCAGGGGTTTATACGGATTCTCGAGGCGCCTGCTGTTCTTCACCGGCCCGTGACTCACGGGTCTATTTCGTCTGCACACTCAGAGTTCCTCCACACGTCCCCTCGCGTCGCGGGAGCGGTGCTGGTCAGCAGTCTTTCCGTTGTTCTGTGGAAATGGGCTGTGTCTGCGCTGGCCCGCGGGGTCCTCTTTGGCCGCACGTGGCTCCTGAGCATTTAGATAAGGCTGGTGTGACCGAGGAACTGAATTTTTAATTCCCTCCCGTGCTCACTAATCTTCACTTAAATAGCTGCACGCGGCCTCACGCGGCCGCCACGGGGCTGCACAGTGCAGCCCTCCCCTCCCCCATTCTGTCACGCTCCACGGTACGGGCGTGTTACCTCCTACCCTCCCTTCCCTGCCGATGGGTCTTTAGGTTGTGTGGGTTCTTCGTGTGAGAGGCTGCGCATTGTGCTCCCATCGTGTTTTGTTTGAGCAGTTGCACGCTCCCCACAGTCGTCACCACTCAGTTCCTTCTCCACTCCTCCCCGCGGTGCCGAGACCATGTCCCCCCAACGCTGTCGACTTCCCGGCGGCCACGCTGATCTGCGTGTGCACGTAACCTTTGCCTGGGCTACATCTCAGGGGGTCTCGGCCTTCTGGCCGAGCCTTTAACATCACCAAATGCCACGCCCGGCCGCAGGAAAGACCGTAGCAGCCCGGGTCCCGATGCAATGAAACAAGTCCTTCCAGCGAAATAACCGAACAGCGAGGTCTTCAAGGCCCCTGAATTCATGGCAGGTGTACAGAAGAGAACAATAAGAATAACCGTAGACAACAGTAAACAGAAAGCAATCCCTAGCTCCGAGAGAAGCAACAATGAAGAGAGAAAATGTAGCCGTTCCATGTCCACCGTAGCCCCGTGGTGGGGGGCAGTGGCCCTCGTGCCGCTCGCGCCCGGCGGCTGTGCCTGCAAACTCTTTATATTATTATATGGCCAAAGCAGGTGTAATTATCGTTATGGACCCTAACACAGGAGGATTATCTCAGATTACTGGGTGGGCCCAGTGTCATCGCTTGAGCCCTTAACAGCAAAGAAAGGAATTTCTCCCGCGGGGCTCTGTCAGGGAGATGCCGGGAAGCCAGAGAGATTCGCAGCACGAGAAGGGTCCCTGCCTGGCTGGGACCACGGAGGGGCCGGGCGGCCTCTGAAAGGTGACAGTGACCCCGCCAACAAGCAGCAGGAAACGGGGAGCTCCGTCCTCCGACCGGAGCCGAATTCCGCCAACGACCCAGATGGGCCTGGAAGTGGATTCTGCCCCGGGATCTCCAGGTGGGAGCCCAGGTCAGCGAGCATCTGGACGTGGCTTGTGGAGCCTGGGGCAGAGACTCCCACCAGGACCAGCTGGACCCTCCCACTTAGAGGCCTGTGACCATAAATCTGTGCCACTGTACGCTGTTGTGTTGTTTGCGGCCATCTGTCACGGCAGCAGCAGAAACCAATACTCCACCTCCTGTGAATTCAGCCCCCCCAAAACGGTCATGTAACCACACTGCGGGGTGGAGAGGTGGTACCGTTGTTGTTATCGGGTAAGGGGTGCGCATTCCTGTTGCACGGCGGGAGGTCAGAGGGTTCTGTTTAACCCTTCAGAGTAGCAGCACACGCACCTGTGGAAGCAAGGCAGCGCACAGCCCCGGCGGCAGCCGAAAGCGCTGGAAGTGGTTGCCTCTGGCGAGCAGGGACTGGGAGTGAGGAGGAGAGGGGGGCGGGCAGGTGTCCTCATCTTAAGCCCCGGAGAGCGGTGGGATTTTTAAGTGCGCGTTCCTGTGGGACTACGTCACTGCGACAAACGTGGAGAAGAGCGGGTGCCACCGCCACCGTGTGAGACGTGCGCACCCCTTTGAGAGCCGGAGCGGGTGGGTGGGCTGTGGGCGGGGGGGGGGGGGTTGCTGCACAGCCTGCCGGCGCGCATGGCAGCCCCTCGCGTGTCCTCCGGTCCCCAGGGTGGAGGAGAGCGACGGCAAGCTTCTGGCGTCGGAGCGGAAGCTGCAGGAGGAGCGGCAGCGTGCCGTGGTGCTGGAGCAGCACGTGGAGAAGATGCGCCTGGAGCCCGGGCGGGCGGCGGCGGGCTCTCAGAGAGCCGCTTCCCGCAGCAAAACAGGTGGGGCTGCCCTGGGGGGCCCGGGGGCGGTGGCGGGAGGCCCGTGGAGGAGGACCTGGGAAGCAGGGGCCTCCGTCAGGGTGGGGCTCGGCCTGCCCCTGCTGCTGCGTGTCCTCCCCCCACCACCCCTCCTCCCACCTCCCAGTCAGAACCAGGAGCCCCAGAGCGCCGTGGCCCCAGGTGTCCCTGGCCCAGCTCACCTGCGAACCCTCAGCATGAGGTGGCAGGGCCCTTGCTGAATGTCCTTGGCTACCACCCCCCGCCCCCACCCCGGGTCCTCAACCCTCTGTCCCAGCTGACTTTGGTCGTGGGGCAAGGCGGGTCGCTGGGGAGGCTGCAGCAGCTGACCGGCAGGGCAATCCCTTGCTGCCTCCCACGGCCGCTGCTGTCGTCGTCGTAAGCGGGGCTGGAGGGGCCTCTCCACAGGCCTGGGGACCTGGGCTGCTCTGTCGTGTGCGCCACTGTTCTCGACATTCAGCTTCCGTCTTGTGGTCTGAGGGGGCTGCTTCAGCTCCCCCGCCGGCAGCTGGAAGGGGACGACCCGCTCCCTGCCTGTTAAGGCAGGACCCCTAAGGTGGCCTGTGTCACCTCTGCCCCCCGCGCCTCGGCCAGGTCCCAGGCCCACGACCACACCCAGCTGCGGAGTGGGGCTTGTTGTCCTAAATGAGATGGTCTGTTGCTCGGACACAGAGGTCCTCAAAGGACAGTCGCCAGGCCAGCAGCATTAGCGTCTCATGGGGCTGGGGCAGGCTGGGGTGCGGGATGCTGGAGCCAGAAGCTGTCCTGGGGTGGCTGACCCCCAGGGAGGGGGATCTCCAGTGTGGAGGGGCTGGGCCTGCCTCCCTCTGACATCCCAACCCACCGTCCTCCAGGCTCTCCCGTGGGGGTGCTGCCCTGCCTCCCAGCACCCTAGGACTTCCCCTCCCTGCCCCAGGCAGGGACACTCAGGCCTTTGTTCCCGGCCCAGATCACATCACACCGTGAGACGGCGGCGGCGGGGGGGGGGGGGGGCATGGTCTCCTTTTCCCTTCTCTCACCAGCAGGCCCAGGGCTCACGGGGGCCTTCCAGGGGCTGCTGCGAATCCAGGCCGAGGGAGGTCCTGGGGCTTAGCCCTGTTGGCCCTCCTGGGCCCTCAGGAACATGTCCCCAAGGGTGGGGGGCCTCCAGGCCTTAGGCTCACCCCCTGCTGAGCAGCTAGGCCCCCCGACCTGGGAGAGCCGACCCCTGGCAGGAGAGACAGGGGTCACAGCCAGTGATGCCGCTGCCCCACAGGTCTGCCCGGCGCCAACACCAGGCACAACCCGAACGGGAGCGAGAGGAAAGACCCCCCTGCCAGCCAGCTCTCCAGCGTGCCCGTGGAGTCCCAGATGGAGGAGCTGACCACCAGGTGCTCCCTGTCCTGCCCTCCTGGAGGGTGGCGTGGTCTGGGTGGAGGTGCTTCAGTGAGCAGAAGGACCGAGGCCCTCCCCGTTGACTTCCCTCTGCCCAGAAGGCTGGCCCCGCTGGGCCGTGGCTGGTAGGCCTGTAACTCAGCGACTGGCCCTCAGGAGGCAGAGAGACTCAGCCATGACCCCGATAACCCCGCAGTCCTAGTGGAAGTTTTACTATGCATGGGTTGCCAAACCTGCTTTTTCACTCCGCTAAACCTTTCAAGGTCAAATGCAATGATGGGAGAGGAAGGAGGGGAAACCTTTCCAAATGAATACTATCCTTGTGGCAGCCACCATTTTGGGGAGCTACCTGGTACCCGGCCCAGGGCTGTGGGTGGGCGCAGAGAGGAGCCTCACGTGGTATTCTCCTGAGGGTCCTTGGGGAGCAGGGGACGGGGCAGAGAGAACCTGCACCCGAGGAGCAGCCGTGCTGGCAGCCCCACCCCAGGGTCTGGGGCACGCACGCACGCCAGCGCGGGCCTCACCGCGCCCTCTCCCGGTGCGGTGCAGGCTGGCCATCCAGGCGGAGGAGAATGAAACGCTGAGGGCCGCCCTGGGCAGCGCCCTGCGGGGAAAGGAGGAGGACTTCCAGATGTACCACGAGACCCTGGCCCAGGTGAAAAGCATCTTCCTGCAGGCCCTGCGGCAGCAGAAGGCAGACAAGCACTAGGACGGCGGCCCAGTGTCACCCTGGCCAGAGGGGGCAGCCACCTTGGCCCCTGCTCCTGGAACAGGCTCCCCAAGGTGACAGAGCCGACCCACAGGCCAGGGGCGCAAGGCAGAAGCCCCGCTGGAGCCCTGGGGGAGCCCCTGGGCGGATGAGGCTGCGGCAGGGAGAGGCCCCCGAAGCTGCTCAGCAGCAGCAGCTCACGTCTGGGGCAGTGAGCTGGCCGCGGACGGATGCCGTCTCTCGGGCAGGGCTCATCGCCCTTGTCCGAGGGCCCAGCTGGCGCCGCTGCGTGCCCACATGACTTCTTCTGCCCAGGAGAGCCCTCCTGCTCTGGGCTGGGGGCATCCCCCAGACCACTCAGCCCCGCACACCCCTCCCACCGGGCATGCCCGAAGCCCTCACGGCTCCATCTGAGGCCACCCGCGCCCTCTGCCGACCCGGGGGCACAGCACTCCCAGCTGCCTTTCGGCCCACTCCTCAGGACTCTGCCTCAGATGCAAACCCTTGAACTTGTAATAATAACGATTACTTTCATAATCGCCGCAGCCCTCGGTGAGTGAGCATCGGGTGTGGGAATCTGAGCCCGTCCAGTCCTCTCGTGACCCAGGGGATCGTCACCATGTTTTACACGTGGGGAAACTGAGGCTCCCGGGAAGAAGCGGAGCCTGCCCGACCCCAAAGCAGGGTCCTCCCGTGGAGCAGAGTCTTCAGGGCAGCTGGGCGGGTCCACCCCCAACAGCGGCTCCAAGAGGCCCCTCCACTTGCTTCCAAAGGCAGCAGCGTGAGGCTGCTGGTGGCGGAGGCCGGAGGTGGGGCTGGGCTGGAGCTTTGGGTGGGAGCCCAGGTGAAGGCAGGGTGCCCCTCCCTCGCCGCAGCACGGTCAGGCGGGGGGTGGGCACTGCCTCGGGGGAGCCCCCAGCCCAGCCCAGACACTGCGGCCCCACCTGTGCGCACACAGGCCCACGCAGGGATGCAGACGTGCAGACGGGCCCGGGCTCAGGAGCACCGGCCGCCGGCGTGCACACGCAGACCCACAGACGGGCCGTGGCCCCTCCACGTGGGCCTGTGTGCCCGCCGGCGTGGGTGTGGGTGCGGACACCCATTCCCACACATGGAGACCGGGCCCCGTGTCACTTGGCTGTGACTCTCAAACTCGGGGGCACAGACTCAGAAAGCACCCCTCCCCAGGCGCCGCCCCCTAGGGCTCCTGGGACCCTGTCTGCTCGGGTCCTTCCTCAGGGACACAGCTGTGGGGGGAGTCTGTGCTGACCCCCAAGTCCGGGAGCCCCGACCTAGCATGGGGTGACATGGGCCGTGAGGATGAAGAGGCGATTCTGCTGGGCCCTGAGGGTGTCTGGAGGGGAGAAGCCTTTCCCTGATCCCTTGTGAGGGGGGATGGTGTGCAGGGTGCAGAGGGAGGCCTGTCCTGGGAGGGGCCGCGTGACACCAGCCAAGGGCCACATGCAGAGCCAGAACACCAGGCCGGGGCTGGGACCTTCACCTTCCGGTGAAAGGGGACCCCAGAGGGACATCTGAGCGTGTGGGGTGCAGACTCTGGCCCTCCCGGGAGGGAGAAGCAGGCATGGGACCAGCCGTCCTTCCTCGGGGACGGACGGAGCGGCAGGGGCCAACTCAGGGGGGCGCGGGGCGGCAGGCCTCACACCCTGGCCACTCAGGGGTGGTTCTGCTGCCCTTCCTGGCTCCGGCCTGGGTCTGAGCGAGGAGGGGGCATCCAGTCCTGGGGCCTGAACAGGTGGGGTGTGTGGGGCGAGTCTCTCCCCACTCACCGACTGTGTGGCCTTGCCTCCCTGAGCCTCCAAGTCCTCTGTAAAGTGGGGGGTGGAGGGGCAATGATGGAGCCCTGTCCCGGGGCTGCTGTGTGGGAATAACTCAGAGACGTTCCGCGGACAGTTGGCCTGCTGTTTACCTGTGTACAAGGGACAGGCATCAGTAGATTGATTCCGGTCCGCAGAGATAAAACAGAATTTACGGGAGGGAGAAAGGGGGAGCTTGCAGCCAGACATGGCGAATGAGTCTAGTTTGCGCATCCGGTGGTACACCGATTCCCCGGCATCTTGCAGAGCTCAGACCGGGCGTTCAGTCCTTGCTTGGGCCAGAGGCGCGTGGAAAGACAACTGCTTCCATCTCCAGGTCCTAAGAGCGGCCTTGGAGGTGTGGCCGAGAAGCTGCGGGCCAGGGGTCCCTGTGGCACCTGCTGGCACCTGCCATCAGCAGCACCCCAGGCTAGTGACACCAGGCCTGTGCCAGGTCCCACAGACTGTCTCCTCAGGAGCCACTGAGTCAGAAAGTGTCAAGTGCTGGAAGGGCAGCTGGCACTCGATGCACACGAGCCTCTGTCAGTTCAACAAACCCAGCAGCTCCTCTGCACAAGGCACGGGGGGGTCTGGGGGAGGCAGACTCGGCCCCTGAGCTCCGCAAAGGCCCAGGCTACCACACCCTGAGCCGGCCAGGCTGCATGCAGGGCCAGTGCATGCCGGCCACACGCCGGCCTCTCGGCGACCAGACTTGCTGCGGCTCTCCGGGAGCTCCTGCTGCAGTCAGAGAGCCTGGGGAGCCCAGGGCCCTGGCGGGGCTGGGGAGCTGGAGGACACAGGCGGGGGAGGGAAGTGCAAAGCCAGGACTCGGCCCCTCAGAGCCCCCACCTGCCCTGCTCCCTCCGGTGCTTGGTGCTCGGCTCAGCAGTGGGTGCTCAGCACTGGGTGGTGGGGGAGGCTCTCCATATCACCTTGAGGTGTGAGAGGGGGAGGGGGGAAGGAAGCAGGATGTTTAAGGGAAGGAGGGGTTGTCAAAGGGGCCAAGGACTGGGACCCTGAAGGATCTGACCCAGGTGGGCCAGGTGGGGAGTGGGGCAGCCTGGTCTGTCCAGGTTAATGCCACCTGTCCCTGGGGCCCTGAGGCCTCCAGCAAGTGGGCAGCAGGCTGGACTTGGCCTTTCCCAGAGGGGAGCACCCCGCCCAGAGCCACTGGGCAGCAGGGGGAGGGGTGAGGACAATCAAAGAGGCCTCACGTCTCACGTGAGGGTGCTCCTTGGCTGCACCCCAGGCTGGGGCCCAGGGCTTGGGTACTCAGGTTCCTGCACCGACAGGTGAGACCTGGCTGAGCCACGGGTGTGGCTTGGCCACTGTCCCCACGGGGGCCTCTGGGGCACCACAGCTGAGCTAGAGAAGACCGCAGTGGGGCTCAGGCTGATTCAAGCCCCAAACATCCCACTGCCCCCAAGCCTCTCCTCTGGGCTCCATGCCCGGCCAGCCAGCCTATCCCCTCCATCCCCTCCCCCAGCCAGCCCGCCACTGGCCCACAACCTGTCCTCTCCTCTGCCCGCCCAGCCCCTCTCCACACAGGCCGTCTCAGGCCCTGAGCCTCATGGGTACACACCTAGAACACACATTACACATGTACACACCCACCACATGCTGTAGGCAACATACAACACAACACATGCACACAGACCCACACACCAACAAAAACACAGCCAGCATACTTCCCCTACATTGTTACCTGGAGCAACAACAACAACAACAACCCTGAGGGTGACAAGGAGCTCAGCCCACCGCGTCCTGCCCAGCAGCTCTTGTGGCCGCAGGTGCTGGTGTGGTCTCACCCCGGCCAGCTTCCTGTCCCTCACTTCCCTGCCCACAGCGGGCACTCTCCTCCCACCACCCTTCACTCGGGGGGCAGCCGGCCTTGGCCCCCCAGCCCTCCACCCCACCTGGCATCCCCCACGTGCTTAGCTCCCTACAGACCCCGCTGTGAGGGGGGTCTCCGGTGAGTGTGTGCTGTGTGTGAGTCCTGCCTCTTTTTTTTTAAAGATTTTATTTATTTATTTTTAGAGAGGGGGAAGGGAGGGAGAAAAAGGGAGAGAAGCATCAGTGTAAGAGAGAAACATCGATCAGTTGCTTCCTGTAAGTGCCCTGACCAGGTAGGTACTGAACCCACAACCCAGGCATGTGCCCTGATGGGGAATCAAACCAGCGACCTTTCATTTTGCAGGATGCTGCCCAACCCACTGAGCCACACCTGCCAGGGCTGCCCCTCCCTGTGAGCAACTCAGTGAGCCAAGCCCCTGTCCTGGCGGGAGTCGTCGAACCCCTCAGGAGCCCAGTATGGTGAGGGCCGGAAGTCCGCCCCTTTACAGGCAAGGAGCTGAGGCTCCGGAAAGTGCTCACACATGCGAGGTGCAGCTTGGGTCCAAGGGAACGGGCTGGACTCGCGAGCTTCCCTGGGGAGCTAAACCGCCCACCTGCTTCCCTGAGCCGCCCTCTCACAGGACGCCAGGTCGGGCTGCTGGCGGGCCGGCTCCCCACGCAGCCGCTGCCGCGTCCGTCTCCTTCTCTCCCCACTGGGGCTGAAGGCAACGCCTTCCCCACGGTTGCGGTGAACTTGAAGGGCTGGTCCAGGGACGGGCTCAGAACAGCACCAGACTACTGGGACTAACTGGCTCCCAACCACCGTTGACACTCTCAGAACGCTGCTCCAGTGGCCCCCCACCCCCGTCCAGGAACCCTCCCTAACTCCCACAGCACCCCTCCCGGGTGCTGGCCTCCTCTAGCGCCCAGGACCCTGGCCGCAGGCCTCTGCCGACCCCCGCGCTGTGCAATGACCGCTCCGAGTTCACCCCTCTCTGGGTCGGGGACTATGGTGCTGGCCTCCTGTTGCCGCGGGGACTGTGCACTGGGGTCTCCTGGCTTCTTGCTCTGGGCCAGCGTGTCTGCATGCTTGCGGGGAGCTCCCTGCCTAAAGGTGCAGCAGGCGGGTCTGGGCCTCTCTCCCCTTCCCACGCCTTGCTCAGGTCCTCCAGGTGCCCCTGCTGGGGCTGGGGGCAGCCCCTCGGAGCCCGTGGCCGGGCTGGGACCAGCAGTGGCTCCGGCACCTGCCCTGTGACCGCAGTCAGGCTTCCAGTCCTGGACCCCAGAGCCTGGCCTGGCACACACATGCGTGAGCAGTTCCTCCATAGGCTCTGAGGCTCTCATCCCCACGGGGGACGATCGGAAGTTCCTGTCCTTGGGGCGGCCCCATCAGTAGGCTGCACGGAGGCTTTGGCTGCCCCTGCCCAGGGTGAGGGTCCTGGCCCCCACCTCACTCCTTCCTCCAAGGGGGCCCAGCTGCTTAGGGACATTGCCATCTACCTCCACCCTGCCATCGAGAGGATGCCAGCCACGCCAAACACCCACTCAAGCCTGGCCAGGTGGCTCTGCTAGCACCCCTCCACCCGGGCAGCTCCCCACGGGACAGGGCTGGAGCACGGGGGTCCCTCGACAACTTCTCTTGTGCCAGTTTGAATCCTAATAGGCAAGGTAGTCCTCCCCCGGACCTGACACCTGGCCATCCAGGACTCTTGGCCCGATGAAATGGACCAGGGCAGGGCAAGATGGTCTGCCCTGGGTCAGCCCTTGGGAGTGCACTTGTAAAGGTGCAGGCTGGGGTTCATGGGGCCGAGCATGA